CGTGTGCATTTTTGCCTTCTTGTTCTTTTATTCCATGGCTGGTAGCCCTCATTCATAATATTGGTTGACACCAAGTGGAGAGAGGTGTGATAATACGATAGCGAGAGGAGTAATCGCGTGAATGTATACAGACCACACACACATACACGCACACACTAACACACACACACACATACACCCACCCACAACACCCTAACTTGCACACGGGCGCACGCACACACAGACACCCACAACACCCTAACTCGCACACGCACAAACACACGCACACACGCATATACACACACCTATAGACACATGTCCACACGCATACACAGGCATCTGCGTTCGTATGACAAATCTAAGCGCACACAAACTCCTGCAATCACGCGTCAAAAAACCCGCAGCGGTCATAGAAATTATACCCATTGGTTTTACATAGCAGATTCGGCGGAGGACGTTCATGTTCGTTGTAACTCTGAGTTTCATGCCGCTAGGCAATCATCAGACAACTGTTTTTTTGTACACTTGCTACTACACAACAATATTAGGTCTTGGGTGTACATATCCCATAGTCGGCAAGAGAGGAGATGCATGAAGGTGTGTGTGTGGGGGGGGGGGGGGGTCGAACCAGGGAGTAGGAAAGAGCCGGTGTTATTGCACCCTGGTTCGAACCAAGCTAGACCAGGCCATGCATCAGAAGTACCTTAGATAACATGTTGCAGCGTGCACAATACAAAGATATTGTGAGCTCCAATTGGTGTGGCTCATGCACGCAGCAATACCACAGGCCAAACAGCTGGACACAGGCAGACACTGTCAACATATCCGCATACACCCGAGTGGAATGGAAATGAACTACTGTATTGGTAAATTGTCTGAGATGGAGTAGTCAGCAGTAGAAGTCAGCAGTAGAAGTTAGCAGTAGAAGTCAGCAGTAGAAGTCAGCAGTAGAAGTCAGCAGTAGAAGTCAGCAGTAGAAGTTAGCAGTAGAAGTCAGCAGTAGGAGTCAGCAGTAGAAGTCAGCAGTAGAAGGAAGAGTTTAAACAAGAAAGACTGCCACAACAGGACTCCATTCCTGGTGCAGATTCGAACCCATGGTTTAGTCGTTATTGCATCACCGTAGTCAAAGGCAGTGAAATGTAAGACTTCCCACGGTGCCATGCACGCATTCTCGTGCCCTACTCATTCACCTGTCATGCCAGCAACACAACTCCAGGTCATCAATATTTAGATTGAAACTCTCCCACCGATTCCCCATTCCATCTTAGTAAAATATCGATACAGGCCATGAAACCAAGAGTACTACTTTATGTGTACATGATCCAATGCCTGTTTGCCAACAAGAATAACATTGTATGTGTGTGTGTGTGTGTGTGTGTGTGTGTGTGTGTGTGTGTGTGTATGTGTGTGTGTGAGAGAGAGAGAGAGAGAGAGAGAGAGAGAGAGAGAGAGAGAGAGAGAGAGAGAGAGAGAGAGAGAGAGAGAGAGAGAGAGAGAGAGAGAGAGAGAGCAGTAAAGTCAAGACTGCGGACTGGCAAGCTAGAATCTTATTCATTCAGTTTGATGGTGATCTTGCCCGAGTTTGGTACTGTGATGTCGGACACTACTGCATAGCTTGCCGGGGTGCCATCCGGTGATGGTCGAAGTGCCGTCACTGTCACACTCTCATCCGGTGAGCCAACCACATCGAACGAAATGCCCTCTGTGATGCACGCATACTGAGAGGGGAATCTTTGAGCTGAAAGGGGGACATACTTTCCAAGCTCTCCTAGCAGCAGCCAACCACTGGGACAGAGCACGGGCCAAACCATAGTAAGACAGGGTGTGAGGTCAGACTCCTGGCTCACTCGAGCAGGCACATCCAATATCTTGTTGTCTCCGTCAGCTTTCAAGTCTGACGGGAAAGACACAGAGCTAACACAAGCCTCTGCAGACTGGTTGTGAGAACAAACAGGCTGGTTCCAGCGCATACGATAGACAAACGTCGTGGTACTGACTGCGATAGCTGCTTTCTCCGCTCCTTGCACTGCAGAATGGTCGAAATTCACAGGTGGCCAGAGATCCATGACGGTGAGAGACCACGTATCTTTCATGCTAAACGAAACTATGATGTAAGCAGTACTCTGTTCCATGCTGCCACAATACGTCATGTAGACATTCCCTGGAGGTGAGTTCTGGGCACTGAACACTGCATTCACTGCTGTCACAGACTTTGACGGCTTGAGCAGTGTGCCGTCCTGGCGGCATGTTCGCATCAGAAGCGAGGCGTTGGATTTGCCAATGGCGTCGCTGAATCCGACCGGGCCCATGGAAAGTATGGCAAGTATAGTGTGGAGCTCACACGATGAGTTGCTATGATCTGGAGGACATCCACGCTTTCTATCGCAGCCACCTAGTTCTGGACCAAGCGGTGAGTTGTCTGTGGACCAAAATGTATCTTTGGACGGTGCAACGCCAAGTGCCCACATCAGAAAGGAGCTCTCGCCGATGTTAAAACTACCGCCATAGTAGAAATCATTGCTGGCACGGAAGTTGGTAACACTTGGCAGATCGAGCGAGGCGAGGACATTAGTTGGTGTGGCCATGCACCATTGTTGTGGAATTTGACTTTCAACAGCAGCCCTGTCCAAACCATGCATCCAGGACTCAATAGCAGCAGGTGATTCACGGAAAGCTGGCATGCAGTTGTAGTTCTGATTCAAGAAGTCTGGTTCAAAGGATACCATACCCATTGCCTTGCCATAGTGAAACAGCCATGTGTAGAAATCATAGGCCGTGTCGGGAGCGGCGTCCTTGAACACAAACATCTTGCAACCGGGCAGCGAGTTGTTACTCTGTACCATTGTGAAATTTCCGCCGTTACTCTTGGCATACTGCGTGCCATTGCAGAAGTATGGCGCGTAGAGTTGAATGGGCACTCCGAGCTTCTGCTGGAACTCAGCCACAGTCATGATGTCATACCTGCTGTTGGGTATCCACTCCCCAATACACCATGGAGCACCGCCGCCTGTACCCATCCACCAGTCACCTTGATGCGACAAGTAGCCGATATCCACACCAATGCTGTCTAGGTACTTCTTCTCATCGAGCAGTGTAGTAGCACAATCCTTGCTGCAGAAGCAGTACATCGCGCCGTTGTCAGTTTGATAGCCGATTTTCTCTAAAGTGATATCCGGAAGTTTTCTGAACCCGCCGGGCTGTGCATGAGATGATTGCATAAGCTGTCCCCAGTCAAACAGTGTTCCAGTCACACCCTTGTCGCCATAGTGAAGCAGGAATGTTTGACTGAAGTTTGTAGGCAAGCCGAGGACAGATTGACTGATACCCGGCAGCCAGTCTACATGATCGCCATTGTACTTTTCATTTGTTTGACTCGACGACATGAAGTGATCAAAATAGGACAGAACCACAACATCAGCATGGTCCACAAGTGCGTTGGCGTTCACGTAGACATGTGGACCTGAGGTTGTCCCCGTAGAGCTGCGTGGATCTCTCTGCGCCCCAGAGAATGTCCCACGCCACGACAAGAACGATGCATTGTTTAGAAAACTGTCTTGTGCTATGCTGAGTGCCGGGAAGTTGGTGATGACATTGGTTGCGTTGTCAGACTGTGTGCCAGTCAATGCTGCACCTGTAATATTGTAGGTGAAGGAGACCGCTGTTCCACTGTCATACACTTTGATAGAGGTCTGCAGCTGTAGCTGGCTGTCCAAAGAACTCTTCCAGCTCGTGCAGATTCCAGAAAAACTACCGATCGCATCCACACCCATGCAAGGGTTCTGTCCCTCCATTATCAGCTTATCAGTCGCCGTGGACGGAGCATCGCTGGCATGCCAAGAACCGCCAGCAAACATTGCCACACCGCGTCCGGAGAATAACGGCTTCTTGTTCAGTTGCACGCTGTACTCGTCATCAGTCATGCTAATGCCCAATGGCTGGCCATCGCAAGGAGCTGTTCTGAGAACGAGCACAATGAGACTGAGCGAAATCAAGACCATTTCTAGAGGTCTTGATGTATTGATGCTTGCCATATTGGCCACGGCTTGATCTCTTGTGTTTGGCTTTTAGCCGACGCCTACTATTGTATTTGTAGGGAAAAAGAGAGAAATTATAATTATAATTATTGTCAAAGGGCCTCTGCTTTCAGGCTAGTGTAAAGTGCTCCTCGCAAACGTGTTTCCTCTTTCAATAAGAGGCTAACGCTAACGAAATACTTCAGCGACAAACGGCACCACAGTGAGCACGATCTTCGGCTTCGAAGCAACTAACGTTCCTAAAAGAGGCACACATTTCATGGAACTAACTATTACTTCTCTGTGGCTAGGAGGAGAAGATTGGCTGTGTCACGTGTGTGTCTGCATGGTCTGTGGCCGTGGTTCACTCAAACAGCAAACGAACGATATCGATAGCCTGTTATACGTTAGTGTTACTGTTAGGCTTAGGCCCGAAGTAAGGGGCAGGGCAGGGGTTTGTCGGACCTGAATGTCACGTGACTGACTTGAGGCAAGTGATTGACCGGCACCATGCGTAGATCTACCAGGGAGTCGTCAAAAATCGGGACGACTCCCGGCCGGCCCTAGGCCCTGTCCATGAATCCACTGAGTCTGTAGCTCTGTCCAGATACTCCTGCAGTCAGTCACTAGCACTCCAGTGTCCAGATCAGGCCATTCAGGGAGTCGTTTATCGACTCCCTGCCAAACTCGCGAATTTGGTTTTTCGATTGAAGTCCCTATGACCCTGGTTAGGCCAGGGCCTGGTCCAGATACGGATACTGAGCATACTACTTGTAGAGTCATAGATTTATAGTGCAGCAGAACTGCACTGTACTACTGACAGTAGTACTGTAGTCTGCAGTCTGTGCAGATCAAGTAACACTAATAATAATAACAGTTAGTACATGTACATGTAATAGTACTCTTTTGTTTGAACAAGTCTGGACTCGTCCTCACGTGCATGACTGCTGAGATACAGATACACGTAAACCTACAAGACAGTTCTAGTTAGTGTATAGTAGTACTACTACTAGTACTGTAGTAGTAGGCCGGTTTGACCTCTTTCACTCTTTGAATGTGGTTAGTTTTAGTGCGTAGATCTGCGGATCTTGTAGAGAAATACTCGAGCAGGGATTTCTGCCTCACCCGTGTGCGCTTCATGCAGGTCGTGAGTGAGACTCCCTTGTCTACTGAAACAGAGTGTGCAAGTTGGTCACGGTTCAAGACGATGGCCCTGTAGAAGATAAGTAACCTGAACTGTTCCAAACTAAAAAAATTCAAGGATTAGTTTATCCGTCCTAAAACATTGTCATATTCGCTAGGACTGGTATCAATTTTGGATTAGTGACGATTTTGTTGCTATTTACTAAGTGTTGAATCTTTAAAAAAATCCATAGTGAAAAAATCATCAATAAATCTTAGTGATTATTATGCACTATGAATGAAAGCTGCAGCAGATTTACCATCAACACCGCTTTACCCGTGATCAATACCGATAATAATGAAGCGAGCATGTTCCTCCCTACCTATCAGCGGTAGTAACGGTAGCAGTATTGTGAATAGTGACGGAGTGAGCTCTGCTGCTGGCACCAGCAAATACTTCCCGGACGCACCCGCAGCCAAGAGACGAGCACGCTCTACGACTGCAACAGCAGCGGCAGAAACAACAGCAGCAGCGGCGGCCAGTAGCAAGGCTAATGATGACCGCAGCACTTCAGCCTCGGGTTCAGGCTCAGCTAGCACCTGTTCACGGCTGAAACGCGAGTTCTTTGATGTTGACTGTGAAAGTCTTGCAAGAAAGCTTTTGGGCTGTCTGTTCGTTCATCGGATTGACTCCGGCAGTGGTCCTGCTAAAGAGATAAGAAGTCGTATAGTGGAGACAGAAGCGTATCTTGGCGGCAGTGACAAAGCAGCGCACTCGTACGGTGGCAAGAGGACACAACGCAACACAGCAATGTACATGCAAGCTGGAACACTCTATGTGTACATGCTGTACGGAATGCATCGCTGTGTCAATGTCTCCAGCCATGGTGACGGTGCTGCTGTCCTCCTTAGGTCCGTGGAGCCTGCGGACGATGAGAGTGAGGAGGAAATGCGCCGCAGCCGAGCCAAAACGCCCGAGGCTGCGAAGAAGCTAAAGCCGAAAGATATTGCAGCGGGACCAGGACGACTTGGCGCGGCAATGGGCATCAGCCTCGACATGACTTGCATGGATACGACGACAGATGAGTCATCCGTATGGTTCGAAGGATCTCCGGATGGTGGTGATGGGTCTTGTAGTACCAGTCAGATGGTGATCAGTAAGCGTGTAGGAGTGGACTATGCAGAGGAATGGGCTGCCAAGCCGTTACGATTTTACCTGGCTGACAGTAAGTGCATCAGTGTCCGGGACAAAGCTGCAGAAAGCCTGCTGTTGTAATCTACGCCTGACACCATGTAGTCAGTAACTGATGAGAAACTAGACCTGGTACGTTAGCTAGCTTGAATGGGTTGGTGGCTGTGTTCCCTCTAGGCACTGTGTGACGTATCATGCAAGTCTACACGTATTCATTGCAAGTGACTACTAGTCACGGGAATGTGACGTAAACTTTTGTCACAAACCACTTCTTTACTCCTGTGTATGTCATAGAAAACATCATCTGGCATGATGTGTCATCTAATATTATAATTATTATTACAATTTACAAATTATTATTTACAATCATTTGACCATCCTGAATGCTTTGGCATGATAACAGCCATGGACATGTATGCGGCGATTACAAAGTCGGCTGCCAATACGATAGGTGCACTGTAAGAGTTCTTACCATGAGATACTTTGGTTGAAAGGCTTGTAATATGAGTGCGCACTTAATGTTATTCACCACTAATTATTACGATTTTATCTCCGCGTCCCCTGCCTTTTTCATTCTTTTCATTTTCACGCAAACTCTACCTGGGTAGAGGAGTGTACAAAAAAAGTACTTCAAAGTATGTGTTATTGACTGAGTCCATGGGATATAGCACCAGGTGCTGTTTGTCTACATAGCCGGCCATGTCACGAAGTCCGACAATGAAAGCTTGTACTATGAATTCCAGTGTAGGCCAGTAACAGTAGACTTCACCCAAGGTTCAGGTACTCTTTGGTACATGTCCCAATCTTACCACCATCAGTAAGCCTGACCACATGCATATCAGTCTGTTCCAGTCGAAATCGGAAAGGTTCTAGTTATTTTTTTGGATTGGGTTTCATGCAGCGGATGAATTTACAGACCCTTCGCCATCATAAATCGAATGATTTGGCGGCCGCCATTAGTTAGAGTTCAGTGATTCTGCACTGAAGAGCTATGCGTGTACCCATTTTATTGCCAATAATATTGGGCAATGATGTACGCAACCTCACTCTTGCACAGTGCTGCAATCGCGACTCTATGCTTTGTGAAACTTTACCTCACAAAATGCAGCATGGCCGGGCCAGATAACTCAGTGCACGACTCATAAGCCCAGCACTGCCTGTGGTGGGTGTGTACTGAGCCTGTACTGCCTGTGGTGGGTGTGTACTGAGCCTGTACTCAGTGTACTGCCTGTGGTGGGTGTGTACTGAGCCTGTACTGCCTGTGGTTTTTTACTTTTTTTTTTATTATTTTTTTTAACAGGCGGTAATTTTTATTAACTCTCAAAATAGAAATGAAAAACGTAAAATGTTTGGCACCTATGAAGTCAGGGGATGGCCCACGCCTGGTAAAAAAACAATGAGGAGTTAAATACAAAGAAAACGAACTGAAAATACAAAAGTAAATGAAACACCATTACCAAAGAAACTGTACTGTATCATGTACACCGTTTATGGCACCAGGGCACATTCAGCAGCCGCCAGCACAGCCGAACCAGACAGATGTCGAGGCGGGTTCCGACGGTGACCACGTAGACTGGCAACCATTGCTCGAACAAGGCAAAAGGAGATCTTCGCCCGTACAAAAGCCATCATAACCGGGAAAGGTTCACGGCGCTTTTCACACAGCTTGCTGGCAATCCTGGCAAAGAGTGCCGAAGCAGCTTTCCCCTGGCCGCCAGTGGTTGCAAAAACCACGGGTACAAACGAGGAATGCTCCACCTCCAGGACTCGCCGTTCATACTTACGCCTCTTCTCCTGCTCGTGCTTTCTGTAGACAGACGGGAGAGTAAGGTTTCGGTTGGAGGGGACAAAAGGGTTAAACACCCGAACATCAAACATTGTCCTCTCTAACCTACTCCCATACACTCCACGTGCTGCCACATCAAGACGAGCATGAGCCTCCGTGTTGGCCGACCGGAGAGGGAATGTTTCACCAGAGAGGGGTTCCAACTCTGGCTCCACGCTGACGTCATGCGCAACCTCACGCAACAGATTAGCGGTTAGATCCCGGAGCTCGTTGTGGCGCATCCCAGTGAATCCTCCGATGGCACATGATAGGGCATGGGTGGTGTCGAAGGGCTTTCCACAGGTGCAGTGAGACGGCAACCGGGGAGGGGTCCAGCCGTAGCGCAGACATAGGGCATCCCGGAAGCCAGCCTTGTGGATGGTAAACTGGAACCGGCGAGATAGCCGACTAGTGAGCCAACTGGAGGCACCTTTCTCTGCGGCTAGATCCAGAGTCCGCCTGTGGTCGTCACTCAGGGTATCCCTGAGGGAGGAGAGGGCCATTGCCTGATCTTGGCGATTAGCTGTGCGTTGGGCCGCCTTGGCTGCCTTGGTGGCAGCAACAACTTCCTCGATGGATTCCTCCTGTCGAAGGAGCTGCTCGACTAGAGGTCTGGTGACAGCCGTAGACGTGTCGTACTGCTGGGAAAGGGTCCCTGGGTTTAGAATTCCCAAGCCACCATGACGACACGGAAGCGCCAGGATGGCACGTTCTTCCTCGCCAGGGGCCTGGCGACCAGTCAGTGCAGGGAGGAAAACTTGCCTGATGGAGTTTTCCAGCGGTGTCAAGAGGTCCGCGATGGCTGGCATTGTCCTCGCAAGGAATGACCACTTATGGCGGAGACCATGGGTAAGGACAGCGTAAGCAGCCTGAGGTTGAGACGCCGCATGTTTGGCGAGGGTCTGCAGCTCTGTGCACCATGTGTCAACCTTCTACGACACGTAACCGTCGCAGAACAGGGCAGAGCCTAGGGCAGCACCAAGATGACGATAGCCGTCCGTCCGGATGTTGACCCCGGTTGTGGCAAACAATTCTGTTGCTAGCGCAAGATGTTGTGGCTTCACGAGGAGAACGTACTTTGACGGGTTGATGTCGTAACCATACCTGGTGCCTCGATCTACTAGGATGGACCACCAGGTGCGCATTCGTCGGAGAGCGCCGGCTGAAGTTGCGTCATCGGCATACCAGGACTGCATGGCCCCAGCTGCGGCGGCTTCCCGGATCAGTGGCACTGTGCCAAGCGCATACATTGGCATAGCCGCAATGGGTCTCCTTGAGTGGTGCCCTCAGAAGACAGGATCACCTCTCCTCCAACATACAGGTGAGCTGGGGAGCGGTAGGTGTTGATAACAGCTGGCGCGAGCTCAGGACATAGCCGCTGAACATTGCGCAGGCAAACAGCTCTATTTAGGCGATTGAATGCGTTCGTTGCATCCGCGAACAGGACTCCCTCCGTGTGGTCATCATCGAAGGTGGTCTTCACCGCATGAATGGCGGCTTCCACGCCGCACTCTTGCCCACCGCATAACTGCAGACAGCCAACAGCACTCTCTACTGCCGAGCCAACAATTTGAAGTATGGCTTTGCCCAGAATGCGGCGAACGACTTCCCCGATCCCGATAGGCCGAACACCTGGCTGCTTGTCCAAAGGCACTAGACGGCAAGCCACATAAGCTTCCAGTGAGATGGGGTCCACATACTTGGTAGCTATTCGCCTGGCACAGGTAACCAGAGCATCGCAGAGTGCATCCGAGGCTGAGCGGAAGGAAGTGCAAATCTTTCGCCAATTGGCTGCGTCCATGCCTGAAGGCCCGGCTGCACCATGCGTGCGCAGCGCAGCTTGGCGAATAACGTCCCTATTGAGTGCCGTGAAGATGACCGGATGTGGTTGAGGCAGAGGCTCTCCGTCCATAACTGCGTCTTCGTTTAGAGGTGATGCTGCTGGATGCTTCTCTCGAAGAATCTCTCGAACGGTGTGGTCACCTATGACATTGTCAAGGCGATGCAGGTCGCCCTTACTGTCGCCGTCAAGCATACGTGTGGCAGAGCCTATCTTTCCATCCATGACCAAGGCGGCAAACCTCCTTGCGTCACTGTCGTCTTTTGCTCGCTCTTCCCTGCTGAATTTGTTTGTAGCCTCTCGTATCTGTTGTTGGATTGTATGAGCTTCAGTCATCACCTCATCGATATCTCCAGTATCCCAGCTCGACAGTCTGCGTTGGAGGCAATCAGCATGCTCTCGGCTGTCTACCATACGATATGGCTGTTGAAGCATTACCTGTGTAGCCACCATCGCTACCTTGATGGACACACCCTCGCCTGCCGCTGCATCACCAAAGCACTGGTATAGACGAGCTATGATGTTAACATACTTCTCACCAGTTGCGCCCGATGGGACACTAAACAGATTCGGGCGGAAGTGAACTGCTTCAGCATACGCTGCGTTGATCACCTGGCGGGATGAATCGAGATCAAAATTCCCTATGCGTAGGTCACACTCTGCGTTCTGGTAAGGTGGCAAAGGAAAGCGGGGTTCTTCCCTGGGCTCATCGTCCGCCAGTGTCGCAAGGAGAGCTACTTGGCTGTCCGTGACTGTGCCGTGGGTCACCTGATCCTGTACGTGAAGGAGCTCAGCCGAGTCAGCACCGGAGTTAAAGGGGAAGTTAAGGCAAAAATTAAAATTTCACCAGTTGTAGTCTTCGGGGTGCTGAGTCGAATGGTCTTGGTCCGAGAAAGCTGAGACGCTCCCTTCCGACTTGAATCCCAATCGAACTCGCGCACTTCCACCGAAACTGGGTGACTGCGCCCTACGAGATGGGGATTTGTATGCAAAATGTCACTAAAAGCGCCATTTCGTTCTTATAAAAGCACGGATGACCGCCATTGGCCCATATGTTGTACTCTTTTGGACGCTGAGTCGACTGGTTTTGGTCCGAAAAGGCTGCGATGCAGCGTTCCTCCTTTATTCCCAATCGAACATGGTTGAAGAAGCGGTCACGTGCTCCTGGGTGCCAAAATCACCTGGTCACCACGCCAGCAGGCGACAACTTTCACACCAAGGTTCAACTCGAGTGACAGGACTGCACCCAAAAAAGGTCAAGACAGGCTGTAAGTTGTACCCTGCAGGCACGGTGACCAGGTGACTGGTGTACGCAGGAGCACGTGACCGCTTGTTCGACCATGTTCGATTGGGAATTAGGGGCGAACGCTGCATCGCAGCCTTTTCGGACCAAAACCAGTCGACTCAGCGACCAAAAGACTATAACATATGGGCCAATCGCGGTCATCCGTGCTTTTATAAGAACGAAATGGCCCTTTTAGTGACATTTTGCATACAAATCCCCATCTCGTAGGGCGCAGTCACCCAGTTTCGGTGGAAGTGCGCGAGTTCGATTGGGATTCAAGTAGGAAGGGAGCGTCTCAGCTTTCTCGGACCAAGACCATTCGACTCAGCACCCCGAAGACTACAACTGGTGAAATTTTAATTTTTGCCTTAACTTCCCCTTTAACAGGGTCTTGTACGGGGGTGCTGTGCCCCGCTAAAGTAGATCTACCTGAGAGGCTGGCTGTCGACGGTTGGAGAGCAGGCGACGGTGGGTTACTATCCTCTGCTGTCGGTCGAGTAGCTGGTTCGAAAACTGGTACGGTACGGGTCACTGACGCTGTGGGCGGTGGTTGTTGAGATGACGGTTGAGACGGTTGGGATGTCGGGCCGGGTGAGCTGTTGTTTCGGCATCGATTTTTCTTGGATGGGAGACAATTCCTGCATCCTCGACCCCCCTTGTGGCATTCACACCGGACGCAGGTGCCGCTGCCATTGCACCGGCAGCAAGTGGCACTCTGCATCAGCTGGTTTGCCGGCCTATGCCGGAGCCGCGCTGGAGCCGGAAAATCCACCGAAAAACTACAGCTACAAAAACGCGTGCCTACCCTGCAAAAGCCGAAAATGAATGTGGTGGGTGTGTACTGAGCCTGTACTGCCTGTGGTGGGTGTGTACTGAGCCTGTACTGCCTGTGGTGGGTGTGTACTGAGCCTGTACTGCCTGTGGTGGGTGTGTACGAGTCGTACTGAGCCTGTACCGCCTGTGGTGGGTGTGTACTGACTACTATACTGAGCCTGTACTGTAATCTGTATACTGGCGGTAGAGTAGTGTGGTGGGTGTGTACTGCAGTGGTACTGGCTGTAGAGTAGAAATGATGATCATGTGAATGATGACCACGAACATACCAGCAGTTGCATGTAAGACAACATACCAGCAGTTGCATGTAAGACATCCAGGCGCGTGCGCCGGTGCCCTTCAAGGGGGGTTCGGGGGCCTACCACGGGAAAAATTTCAAAAAATGAAGCAAAATCCTGCATTTTGAGCGAAAAAAAGGGGTTCCGGGCACCCAGGAACCCATACGGGGCACGCGCCTGACATCGCTATGGTCTCTCCTGTATGTATATTATGTACATGAACAGAACAACAAGGACAATCAAGGCTTGTCTGCTGCTACTTCAAGTTTCATGCACTCGCAATCATCAGGCAAAAGTTTGTCCTTGCTGTTCTGTTCTGTATTATGCTCCGCCTCCGCGGTGTTGAGCACTGGCAGCACACTGGATACGTCCTGCGGTGTATATGTACATGTAAAGCTGTCCGGAGATTGACAGTATAATGTGAACTTGGAATAGGTCTAACTCGGATGGTGAGCCATTGAATTAAATTATGGTGAAAAAAGGAGGACAACATTTTACGAGTTATGACCAACTGTCCACCAACAGCTGACTGTATAAGATCTGGTTACGTCGGTGGAGACAGTTAGTCATAATGCGTAACATTTTGTCCTCCTTTTTTCACCATAATGGAATAGGCCTGCTAGAGATAATTATGACTACTTGTAAGGAAGTCGCTTGTATCGTCGCTACATCGATGATTGTCTGGTAGTATGGTGTCATGGTCTTGTCAAGTTGATGGAGTTCGTGCAGTACTTGAGCAGCAGACACCCAGACATACGCTTCACAGTGGAACACACCCAGCAGAATGTCTCGCACACAGTCCGCTACCTCGACTTGTTTGTTTGTTTGAAGTTTTATTTTACATCGCAAACCAAACGGGCATTGATGCCCAATATTATGATGGCGATAGAATAAAAAGTGTAGCTCGATAAAGCTTCACTTGCGAAAATGAGAAAACAGTCAAAAGGAAGTATTTGTACCGGTAATTACAAGTCAAGTTCCAACGAAGTAACAATCAGGGAGAAATAGGAAGATGAGGACCTATGCCAGAGGGAGGTGCTATTCGGCCATATTAACCGTAGAAAAACACTTTCAGCAATCTTGTCTATCTCTGTGGCGAGTGGTGTTGTGCAGTGGAAGTTGTTCGTTAAGCCCAGTCATAGTGGCAGGGGTCACTGAGGGGTGTCGGAAGGTATTCTAGGGTGGTACGGTCAGTAGCCCTTTCCCAAAGATGCTCGCCACTTTTTTTCGCAACTTTTCGTTGTTTAGGAAGAAATCGCAACTTTCGCAACTTTTCCGCGACCTTGGCCATATGGCATGGGGTCAAAAGGTCAAGTCCCGAACTACATGTCGGACAAATTAAATGCATACTCGCTCATTTCTCGACTGCCTTGAGACTCATTTCAGAGAAACGGTAGATCAACAGTAATATGATAATATGCATTCCCTCTTCCGTGCCCTGGAATGATGTAGGATACATGCAACAGGCTACTGGCACTGTGTACAGTGGTGGTTCACAGCAGGAAGGGGTGTACGAGTTTGCTGTCGCTGCACTTCTGCTCCTTTTTTGGTGTTTTTTGTACAAGAACTCTCCAATTTGCTTTTAAAGTAAGTTGCGACATGAGGAACTTTTGAGCTTTTCCTGAAAATATGGATGCGATTTCAGCAACTAGCACTTGTTTTGAAACGGTTGCGAAAAGCATAAGTTGCGAAACATTATGGCATCTTTGGGAAAGGGCTAACGGTCAGCATCTGAAGTACAGTTTACTCGTGGGGGGGGGGGGAGGGGGGGGGAGGGATGGCAGAGCCGAAAATGTTGGAAATTTAGAGTCCAGGTCAGTGTATTTTATTGATTCACTGGGTACCTGGGGCAAAAAGTGGTACGGTCAATACCGTAGTGACCGTACTGTGTCCGACGCCCCTGAGTGGTGTCCATCTATTGTACGAGTCTTCATTGCCATTGGGGGTGAAGCGTTCGGTTCCCCAGGAGCAGTTTCGACGCGCAAACAGCAACGCGTCAACCGACAGGGGAGGGAGCGGGGAGAGAAGAAGATCGAGACATTACTATGAGACAACGACTACTCACAACACGCTATTCAAGCAGCCAAGCACCATGCAAGCACACCAAGACCATTATCCACCAGACAACGACAACAATCGTACACATCCATCATCAAACTGCCCTTCGTCAATGATCGTTTGGCACGTGATGTTCGTCGTACGGTGAGGTCTTTCAGTAAGGATGTGCGTGTGGTGTTCCAGTCCGGTCGGTCACTAAGGGACATGTTGGTATCGTCATCATTGTCCCGTCCTGAATGCCCGAAGGAAATGTATAAGAAGAGAAGAGGGAGGGGACGACCAGTTCAATGTCGTGCATGTGATGCTGGTATGGAGAGTGGTCAATGTTTGTCTCAGGATGTTATCTACTCGATGTTATGTGCACTTTGCGCCGAGGAGTACGTTGGCGAGACCGAGCGAACTGCAAGAAAAAGATTTGAGGAGCATTGCAGAGAGGCCAAAGTGCAAGCGCTGGAGACGCCATGGGGAGAACACTATGCAGAACACCACCCACAACAAGCAATCACATCTACACCCATCACCAACGCATCAATTCTCGCCAAACAGTCGTCCCTTGTGAATCGTCGTATACGTGAAGCAATGTTCATTCGTGATACACGTCCAAGTGTTAACAGGGATCGTGGCTGGAGACTGCTGGACACAGTGTGAATTTATTGTGTTAGATGTTGGTGTTGTAAATTGTGGTAGACTGTGATGTTGCGAATATATGGCACGATAATATTTGATGTTTATGTGTGCTAGCTGGTTATATATAGTGCTTAGCAATATTTTGTCGTCATCTTTGTCTTCACACCCGTAGATCCAGCTACATTGCATACTTTGCATTCTATTCTCCATGTCGCACTAACACATTTTCACACTTACAGACACAGCTCTCCACTTGTCTCCTTCGCTCCTTCCCTTTCTACCAACACACTTCCAGGGCCTGCTGGAGAGCCGGGTCAGCCGGGTCACGCGCCCGGCTGGGGAACTGCACGACCTGGCTGAACAGATAACACCGGGTCCAGTCTGACCCGGCTGAAAAATGTCTCAAACTGACAATGGATTCATAAAATTCCGGTATTTTACGACTAGCGGACCCCATCTCTTGCAAGTCTAGCGCAACCGTACACACTACAGTCTACAAGCGACAGAAACTCGGCTAGGGTCAACTGCGGTCACGTCAACTGGTTCGAGCACGATCTGGCCAGTTAGCGGCGAGCAGGAAGTCAGGACATACAAAGTCGATGGGGCAGGCAGTCAAAAGCGTTACTTTGACACAGTTGCAATTTTTCAGCCGACTGGTGATTTGGATGATGGAGCCCGCAGCGAAGAGAAAAAGATCTCACCTTTCCAAGACTCTTGGAAGAAAGGTCGACCCTGGCTGGACTACGACCATGCTAGTCTATCCATGTCATGCGCTTTGTGCAAGACGCATTTCCAAAGGAAGATGAGCGGCGATGGATTTGGTCGTTCGTCCTGCTACTAGCAATAATTAGAAAACAGAATTCCTTTTTTTCAAATTGTTAAATCAGAATCCAATGGAACTGCTTTGCATTCTTCACGTAATGTCGTTTACCTTTTACGTTTGCGGACTTTGATAGTTCGCCTTGTTCTCTAAAATTTCCGATTTCCGGTAATAAATTCGCCTTTCTGTTTCCTGCGTTTTGAGCAGGCTTTTTGGTTGTTTTTCTGCCGGATGATCTGACCCGGCTTGACCCGGCTGGCCTGCATGCGCCAGGTACACTCTGACCGGGCTGTGTTGAATGTCTAGAGCAGGCACTGACTTCACCATTGCTGCTGGTAACCACACTTCTCGTGCTTTCCCTTCCTTTCTCCCGACAGCTTTCACCATTGCTGCTACCCTCCACACATACAAACATTTCCAGCACTACCGCACCACACAGCATATCTACTCGTTTCAGCTTTTGTTGGCTTTAGTTGAATGGTTTTTCACCCTGAAGATGGGCCATGCCCGAAAATTTGGTGCATTCCATTTATATCTAATATTATTTATTTTATTTTATTTTTTGGAAGTGAAGTGAACTAGTTACTTATGCAGCGAAGAGACCGTAGTTGGAGAGTTTGAAGTGAGGTACCCTGTGAAGTTTTATGTTGATGATTTAGTAGTACAAGCCATACAATAATGGAGTACATTACAATGGCATTGTCATTGTGTCTTTCTTATTTATGTGGCATATGTTTGACAGCATTCAGGATGGCACAGAGTCAAGTCAGCGGATTGAAAGTAGGTCTACACAGTCATGTACAATGCCCATTGTTCTGGACAGTTTTTATTATCATTTACTTTATTTATAATAGAGTTATCATCAGGGAGAACGCAATACTACTTCTTGGTTATCATGGTTATGACCACGTGTCCAGGACTACAAAAGGAGTTGTCAGGTCAAGTACTATCTCTTTGTCTGTCACCAGTTATTATAGGATTAGACTTCAAGACGCATTTGCAGCCTCGCAAATAGTCGAAGTGGAAGCAATGTTATTGAAGATGCAATTTGATCTTTCCCACAATGCCTCTCTCTATATTTAAAATGAATGAATAGAGGTTACTCACTGGCTAAGACCCCCAGGAAAGGTATCTGTGTGCAATTATTGCTGATAAATTGCAATTACAAGTGGTAGAAAATATTAGAAATAGACTAGGAGTGGAATAGATGATTATTAGCACCATCCTAGCATTGAAGTAGTGCTGTAAAGTGCTCGCAGATCAATATGAACTGAAGACACTACATGTTTGGGGGAATTTACTAAATCAGTTGTGTTCAAGTATGTACACACATTATTAATAGTGGAATAGTCTTTTGGTACTAGCCTAGGAGGTGCTTCTTCCTTAGACATAGATGCATGCATAGAATGTTTTTGTTAGCTCCATAAGGGCTATATCTAGGCTTGGATATTACCAACTATGGTTTTTATTTGCAGGGGAAACTGGGAAGAACAAAACCAATTTTTGAAGAGGCCAAATCCTATACATGTACAGTATATAGGATTTTGAAAATTCTGGACACCTTTGCACGGGAAGGCCTGTTACAGAAAAAGTAAAGCCCTTCTGCTGGTGAAACTTGGCAGGCATCATCTCTGATAAACACGGAATACAGACTCCAACAGGTTTTCGAAGAAAGAACTTTACTTTGACGGTAAGGTATGATCTACCCTTTCCCAAAAATTGGGAAAAATCCTATATATTTGACAGACAAAGAGATACTACATGATTGTATTTAATTAAATTTTAGTAGTTTGCTACCTGTCATTGTACTTTTGTAATTATTGTACTTAGGAAATTTGAGGCCACATGCCACGTACTGCTCTTTTCTCTCCGAAACTCAACATTTGCAAGCCAGATATGAAAGAAAGAAAAAATCATCAGTCACACCACCGGGACTCGAACCAGGGACCTTGCTATTCGCGAGCAATGCTCTCACCAACTGAGCTACAGTACAGTATGACTCTTATGCGCTCCCCGTGGTATCAAGCGAATGGCCGAGGGCCCTCTTGATTGGTGTGAGTTGCCAGTATGATGCAAGCCAGAATAATGATATTGATTGATCGATAGGCCTTGACGGATTATGCTAGCATAATTTTTCGCATAATTCCTACCAAAATCGAATAATCGCATAATTCGAGGCAAATTGCATACGAATCACATAAAATTGTAATAATCCGCCTGTTCGCATCAAATTCCATACAGTTGTACATGTTCTATAAGTACAAGTACAAGTAGATGCACTAGGAAGTTGTAGGTTTACGACTCCCTTGATAACATGTCCAGTCCACTACAATCAGTGATGGTCGTAGCTACATGTACAATGTATGTCGGACGGTGCGTTGTTTCCGTTGAACTTTTGCTACTACAGTACAACGCCCTCTACAAAAAAATTCCCCTTTTATTTTGCACAAAACCATTATGCATTAGCAGCATATGTGAGCATAATGCGGCATAATATGATAACTTTTAGCATAAAAATAGCATAATTCCGCAATTTTTTCAGCAATGCGAAAAGCATAATTTCACGAAAATATTAGCATAATCCGTCAAGGCCTATTGATCGAAGAAGGATAGATTTACCATCACTGTGGATAAGAGTCATACTGTAGCTCAGTTGGTTAGAGCATTGCTCGCGAATAGCAAGGTCCCTGGTTTGAGTCCCGGTGGTGTGACTGATGATTTTTTCTTTCTTTCATATCTGGCTTGCAAGTGTTGAGCTTCGGAGAGAAAAGAGCAGTACGTGGCATGTGGCCTCAAATTTCCTAACACTTTGAAAATTCTCCGTGAAGTCCAAATTTGAAATTATTGTGGGGCCGTCCGCAAATATCGAACTTTTTTCACCAAACGAATTATTTTAGTTTAGACCCAACCCCTCCCTCCCTCCCCCTCAGAACGTAACAATTGTTGACATATGCATGCATAAAACAACAAAAGTTGCAAGTGTGTAACTGCTCCTATGAGCATGCACATGTATCAATGTTTTCTGAAACGAAATTGGTCAACCCCCTCCCACCCCATAACGAAATTATTTCGTTTCGTGAAAAAAGTTCGATAATTGTGGACGACCCCAATATCAAAGTAAGTTATCATCTAGACGAAAATACTGACTGACAGGTCTACACTGACTGTGCAGTGGTTCATTACTATACTGCACATGATGTGACACTGAGTCACTGACAGTCTGACAGAACATGATGACGTGCTCATTCAGCGTCTTATGTCAGCTGATCAGGCTTCTACAAGACTAGCGCTAGCGTATATCATGTATATAGCGCCACGTAGCTAGCATGCATGCAGTGCAGTCTCGATCTCACATCAGATTTCCTGAACTGAGAATTTCACATTATGGATTATCGGTATGTAGTTCAGGTTTTAGCTTCATGAACAGAGACAGAATGTAATTTTTATTGTCAACTGCATCGAAACATACCCCAGTGAACCAAATCACTTGTGCTTGACTGATCTGCTTGCCTTTGTAACGCCAGCTCTCCAGCATGGCCAGCAGCAGCAACAAGGAGGATAGGTTTTCGCCCCATGACACCGCTGACTACATTCGTCGTTTATGTAGCGACTCGATGTGCGCCTTTCGAGACGTGGAGAGGAGATTAATGGGAGAGCAGGATCGAGTCAGGCTAGCACTGAGACAGGATGATGGCAGGAAAGCCCTGGAGAATGGCGAACTACGCCTGTACGACAAACTACAGGAGACAATTCGAGAGATGAGGACAGCCGATGTGGACAGCGTCAAGGCTGGATTTTCACAGCTGGTGAAATTGTCTTTGAATCTGCTCCTGACCTCGATGGAACAACATCGTACAGAACTACATACAGTGGATGTAAGATAATAAGATATCATGATATCGTACAGTACTATGTACAATGGATGTACGATAATTAGATCTCATGCCCAGTCTTGGCTCAGACAATTGGTTAAAAGTACAATGTACAAGTAGGGGCGTCGGAAGGTGATTTAGTGTTGTATGGTCAGCCATCTGAAGTACAATTTACTCGTGGGGAAGGGGTGGCTGAGCAGAAAATTTTGCAAATTTAGAGCCAAAATCTGTGCATTTTATTGATTCACGGGGTAGTTGGGGCAAATAGTGGTACGGTAAATACCGTAGTGACCGTACCGTGTGCGACGCCCCTGACAAGACTATATTCGTCAGGCGAAATTACTGGTCAGTCGGCGACACGCATTTTTCACAAAAATGTGCGTTTCACCTGCTGGGAGAGTATGCGTGTACTCGAGTCTCATCCTGAGCACGTTTTTTCTTCTTTTTTTCAGCTCCAGTATAGCTGTATTTTCATTGCAAAGCCGTCCTCGACTGTTGTGTTCGTTGTTCAAACGAAGTGGACATTCAATCATGAAGGCAGAGGACATAGGAGCCTGATTGGAGTTTCTCGTGATATAGGACGGCCACACTTTGGGATTTTCTGAATACAAAATACCGTACGCACGATGCTGAGATCAATTTGTGCGATATCAAATTGTTTGTGATCTACCACATCGAGCAGAACGGGATCCAAACACAAGCTTACCGACGGTTAGGCTGCCGCCCTGGCTGGCTTCACCAGACGCCAGACGTCGGACACCGTGTCCTTTGCCGCGACGTCCATCTCCAAAAAGAACTCCATCTTCGTCGTGAAAAGGCTTGAAATCATACTCAATATTCAACCGAGATTCGCGGTCTCACCCTTTCTCAGATCGAATCATTTTTTGTTGTAGCAGTTGCAGGGCAGATCCCCGCCACTACTTCAACAGGGGATGGCTCTAAAGCATGCCTGGAACAAGCCATATCGAGGTTGCAAGCCACCGCTCTCAGCAAGAAATTCGAAATTTCAATGGTGGAAGATATACTATGAAGAGAATTTCAAAAAGTATGTTTCGCGGAGCGATTGCTCAACCTACGTTCTATCAAACTTTGCAGGATGGTTCAGACGTACATGCTAGGCATGGAACCATGGGGGATGATCATAGCTGACACACAGAGTCACACACACACAGCAGATTCGTGTGCGCAGATACTAAATTAGTGGACGTCGTCATCTTCTTCCCGCTGATCTCAAATGTACTATGACGTGCTATTTCGCCTGACGGTTTTATTTAAAAAAATAACTTATATAATAAACAGGAATCCAACTCCGCACTACGGATAATAAAAAAGGTTGAGACTGAGGATTTATGGCTATAAAATAAAGTATAAATATAGACCTGACTGTTCTTTATTTGCCATGAATCCGATGTTGAGTCATTTATTTAACCCTTTATGGACGGATTACTAGCACAGTATGCACCAGAATTACAAAATGTCAGTACAATTTTCAACTTTTCCATGTCATAACTTTGGTGTCCTTCACTTGATTTTCACAATCAAGGGCTCATAGGAAAGCTCTTGGCGAGAGCTACGTCAGGGTACCAATCTCCATTATCCGGCCGCCACAAATCAGGCGCGGTAACACAGCAAAGTCGTCTCCAAGCCTGATATGCAAGCAAATTCGTCCCATCAACGCCACTCCACTCTCCTTCATCGCAGAACCCTCAAATCTGTTTGAGACGATTCAAACTTCAGCCGGCTACGTCATTATCATGTGCTCAGTCGCTCAAAGAGCACACGAAAAGGGATTTTCCCCCAAAATGGCGAAATGATCGATCAAAAATTTGAATTTGCCGAGGTAAGAATACGGCGTGCGATATCTCTGGCGTCCGACATTGTAACTCTTCGGCGATTGTTGCATTGGACAGCTTGGAGTTCCCGCTACCACGTAGACCCTTCGATTGTGGAATTTGCTCAAGAAACGATGGAGTTACGAAGTTACGAAGTTTCGATCTTATTAGATCGAAACTCGTACAGTCCGTCCACAAAGGGTTTTTTTTTGTGAAAAAAAAAAAATGCGTTCTGCTGAGCTCCGTGAGAGAGAAGGTCGATCCACTGCATAATTTGGTCGTTTTCGATTGGTTTATTGTATTCACGAAGTGAAAGAAGTGCTATGTTCAATGCTGTTAGTGCCGCGAACTGTTTATTAGTAGTCCTCTCGGTTGTGTACTGGGACGTGACACCGACAGGGGAAAGCTGGAGTGCGGAGACTTCAGCAGACAAGCGAAAATAGTGACGGACAAAGTGCTGAAATCTTGGTTGGGACAAATGAGACGTTCAGCATTTACCCCAACCACAAAGGACTATGCCGTTTGCTCTTTCCACTTCCTGAAGATGGATGTGATGCTTCCTGGCGACTCTCCAACATCAGGAGTACACAAAAACCAGAGTGTACAGCTGTGATGGGTTGCTGTCACGGCGAAATTCCGTGATTACATCATTTTAGTGATGTAGTAAGTGCAAGCAGGATCCAAGCAGGTCTCTTTCTGCACAACTGCAGCTCAGTTGTACGCACTACACCACCTCCCGTTTCAGATCTGCGTCAAATATGATGTAATCGCGGAATTCCGCCATGACAGACACCCATAGAAGAAAAGGCTCCAAGCTGCACACTCTGGGTTTCATGTAGTCTTCCCGACATCAGCCTGTGTCTCTCGTAACATCTTCTGAAGCCAGGTGAGACAACGGGTGGTGGAGATTGACAAACGAAGTAATGTCGTACTCTTTGGAAAGTTTGCTGAAAATTTCTCAGGAGAGATGGCGGTTACCAAGCATCTTCTCTTAGAGGAAACATGTCCTACCTAGGCTATAGTCAGCCTAGGGAAGTGCAGGAGAAGGCCGATAAACAGTTCACGGCACTAACAGCATTGAACACAGCCCTTCTTTCACATCATGAATACAATAAGACAATTGAAAATGACCGAATTATGCAGTAATCGACCTTCTCTCTCACGGAGCTTAACCATCTGATAAAGAACCACACACAAACACAACCATACTTCAGAGGAATCCTAAAGGGTGTCTCTTAGTAAGGATCTCTGAATAAAGGCTTGCGAGTTATGGTCACTTTCTTTGTGTGTGTGGGGGGGGGGGGGGGGCTTTAAGTTGATTTAAAAGTGTATAATGTGGAGGTTGAGTATCACAAATTTCGCCTTCGAACTTACATACACTTTCAGTTCACAAACTGGACATCAAACATTCCCATTTCTCTTGCTAAGAGCAGTCGGAAAATGAATCCCAGATTCATGTCAGGACTCGTGGCAGTCATGATTTTACACGTGAGCTATGATTAACTGTTAAATGTTGTGCTGTTTGTTGACGTCTTGCTAGAGGTTAATCCTCTCCAAAAACCTAATTCCGTCTCCACGTTTGGCACTCATTGGGGTGCCAAGTCGAACACAAGATATGTCTTGCTGATAGTAAACCTCCATACTATTGATTACAGTATTTTCCGGAGTATAAGCCGCACTTTGAACTCTCAAAATTCACCCAAAGAAAAGGGGGTGCGGGTTATATTCCGATGATCAAATTAACCGTGATAAATAGGGTAGATGTCTGTATTTCGTGGCAAAAAATGGGATTGCGGCTGATTCTCCAGTGCGGCTTATACTCTAGAAAATATGGTACGCTTGTACATAACTGCTCACCGAATGTTGCTTTTTAGTAAATGGTCGGGTGTGATAATTTGGCGTAAGTCTGGTGATAACGCATTGACACATATGCAGTGAAACGTCTCTTATTCAAACGCCTTGGGACTGGTCACTGCCCGTATCTCAGATGTATCCGAAGTCCTGGACAATTCATCAGTCCCATTATCATGTCAGTCTAAGGAGAAGTTTGTTTGGCAGGTGCACACTTTGAAAACCCTTCTGAAATTGGAACACTTTTTCACTTTTGCCTTAGCAACTCAAGCTGATAGTACCCGGCAGAGAGACGTGCCCGTATCAGAGGGGACCAGATAAGAGACATTTGATTGTACTGAAATACAACCACTTGAGGTTCAGCTGCAGCACACTATGGCTGCACACATCTGCAGTATTCAAACTTGGAAGTATTGTTCCCAGCAGCTTATTTTTTTCTTCGCCTTGTGTGTTTATGTATGTGTGTACAGCTCCATTCTGGCCCAGTTGTCTACTACATCAGTAAGATTTCCAACTATGAGCAAATTTTCCGCAGCATGGGCTTCGTCTCCAGTGGTCATCTGTACATTTTGCAGCGGCAGTATGCACGCAATGGTGTACTACTTGCAAAGCATTTCTTGGAATTCATCCTTGCGGAGCAGCTGTTTGTCCATCTGAAGACGATCAGTGACCGACTGAGTGGTGATCTGGCAGACTGCATGCGCAGCGCTCTGCAGGTATGGATCCAGGAACCATGTGGGAGCAAGCGCATGGAGGACACTCTACGTACTGGGGACTTCCAGCGATTGCTGTCTGGCGGTGATCATGGCCTTGGTGTACACACGGCTATCGAGCATTCATCAGCACTTGATAGCGAGGAACCGTACAGTGATGTGCCTGGTAGCAATGGTGGTGTTGGACAGCAAGACTATGGTGGTGTTGGACAGCATGACTATGGTGATGTCTCCAGTGGTGGCCTGAAGTATGGACAGCATGAGAATCAACAGTCAAAATACACTGCCCCACACTCCGCTTCTACGACTGCTGTAGATACATCTGATGGCAGTGCCCATGCACGCTCTGAATGGCATGGAACTGATCCCTCTCTGGCAAGGCACCAGCATGCTCAGCATCATCCAGCTAATGAGAGCGTTCATCACATGGTGCACCCATCCAACACTGCTCTGTCTGCTCATACACCTGTGTATAGTGAAGAGCGTGACCACTTGCCACCGCCAGCTCATCAGCGTAATGGAGATTTCGCCAGTGAGCATGGCAGAACAATGGCGTCTGTCCCAACACAACAGCAACAACCGCAGCAACAGCAATCCCCAGCGCCTCGACCGAAGCCAAGGCAGCGGCAGTCTGTGAGTCAGTCTCAGTACTCGGTGGCAAATTCTTCTCATCAAATTCTAGCACAAAGTCCCGGTAGGAATGGCCAAGATGACTTGCATCTTGGTTTTGCGCATGGTACTGCCACGTACAACCCGGACCACGTGCCTATTTCCTCGGCGGCATTAGACCAACCAAGGACAAGCTATCCCAGTGAACTGGCAAGAGGCAACAGCAGCAACAGCAACAGGCCGCAGTATCCTATGAACTTGGAACATACACTGCCAAATCCAGCGCCGCCGGAAAACCCTGTAGAACACTTGCCTGGCGCCGTCCGACAACTTTCAAGCGAGTTCACATCAGCGCATGGTGTTGAAAACCCCACAACGTATGCCGCAGATCCGTATCACCACCACCTGCAGCCTGCCACAGTACATTATCAGCAGCAGCAGCAGCTGGCAGCTTCAGATCAGTATCATCGGCAGCTCTCCAGTGACAGTGTCTCACCAGCGGCTGCAGTACACACGAGCAGACAGCAGTATGGCGATGCCTATGCGTCTGCCCTTCCTACAGCAAACATGCACCTAAAAGACAGTTCAACTACGTCTGCAGGGGGCCATTCAGCTACATCAACCGTGCATAGCAGCTCTGGGTATTCGACGGCTTCTGCATCCAGTGCACGGCGTGAGCCAGACAAGGTTGCAGAACTGTGTGAAGCTATCCGTGTCAATATACAAGGTGGTGAGCCACAACCTCATGTGCGTGATCCGGTACTCGAGGACTCCCTTGATTCGGACTTGTATGCAGCCGGTCCCGGAAGTATGGAGTCTGAGCTTCAAATGTCTTTCATCCAGAAGCCACGTGAATCTGATCCTGTTTCGGGTGCCGAGTCATCCTACAGCAAGCCTCAGCTCCGGCCCGAAGGCCATAAATTCGTCTTAAAGCAGCATGCGGCCCAGCAACACCAGCAACCATGGAGTATGGTGCCACCTTCTTCTGACATGACCTCCACTGCGCTACCGAATACTGGTACTAGCGTAAATCCCCTTCCAACCACAAGGACACCTTCAACTGTGTATGGCCCTATGCCTACGGCAACGCATGCGCCAGCCACGGATGGCTATATGCCTTCGTCAACGCATGCACCAACCAGGGATGGGAGGTCAGGTGATTTGAGTGTTGGCTACCCTGTTGATTCTCGTTCTGCCCATGCTTACGATACCTATGACAATGCGGCGGCAGGTCACCATCAAGACCATTTGCAGGACCCATCTGGTGTAGAAGTATGACCGCATTGCAACCCTGAACAGTTTCTATCGGGACATTTTGAATTTGTACTCGTTTTACCTGTTGAAAATGGTATTTTCTTGATTGTTGATTGATGTCATGGCACTTGCACTGAAAACCAAGTAAGGGGAATGTTATTATAAAATATATATCCATGAAAAATTGCAAGTGTGCCGCAGCAGATTCCTCTAAGTTGTTTTATCGGAAACTTATCGGTGAATGTGTTTCTGGTGAGCCAATGTCTGCAAGCGACTGTGGATAATATGGGTCTAGCCAGTCCATGACTACTTGGTCGTATGACAAACCCGAATAATGTTGATCTAGCGTAGTGTGTCCACATGTCCAGTTCCTTTTAAATTAATTAAATTAATTGTATTTTTGAGTCGAGATGAAGCAATACATTATAAGTGTTTGTGATGAAGACATTCACGCACCACCGTGTCACGCACCACCACTGTGTCACGCACCACCGTGTCACGCACCACCGTGCATGTTGGTCAGTACATCTCATTGGCAGCACACAACCGTGATGCATGCGTCACAAAGTATGCCCTAGCCTTGTATTGCATGCCCTACATCACATTGTGTCTGCATCCAGTATGCATGAAGGTGTGTCTGCTTCCAGCATGCCATACATGTGAGTGTTCCTCCAGCGTGCAGGAGTATGCGTCTGGCTCCAGCATGATGCATGAATGAGGTGATTGTATGCTGCTTTTCAGAATGGGCGCTTTCGATGACACATTTGGGCTCAGGTTTTATAATTCTCGAATGAACGGATTGCGGCCATGTAAACGAACGACTACACGTAAAAATCGTAAAAGGGGATCACGTGGGATCCTGTGCACCCTCGTACACACGTGAACCTAGCATGGCGTTTACGCCGAGTGCATCAATTCTGAAATTAGCAATTCCGCCCTCTCTTCGGAATTGACGGAATTGGAATTGATGACGGAATTTGTGTAATCGAACGGTGCATCCACCACAACTAATTCCAGAATTGACCGAAATGTGTGTAACCAAACGCGCCCAATGATCATTCTGATTAAAGCAGCTAGCTTATCTTACTGCCAGTTATGATGCCATTGCTCCCAAAGCCGCCTGCAGTTGGAAGAGTGAAGGGGGTGGACGTAGTGCCGCGACATGTGTTTGCTTCCCTTTAAAAGCTTTCATATGTACAAGACCTGCCAGCCATTATACATGTCGAAATAGATGCCGCAGTTGTAGACTTGCAGTGACCCTGGCTATAGTGATACACACGGATGCCGATGGGTGGCAACTGGCAAACCCATCACACCATAGTAAGTGCAAACAACTTGCTCATGCCAGAAATCATGCGAGGAGGATTCTGTACTGCCCCCAGTTCACATACACTTGAGCACCAGACCAGGTGCATTATGCAGAGATAAGGAATGAAGTCAGTAGGTGCCAAGACCTTATAGGGACATGAGCAGGATGCGTGAATAGTCCATATATAACCTGTTCCGTAATACTAGGCATGTCAGTGCTGCATAGCTATACATGACAGTCATCAGACTCCCAACCACTGGCACTGAACCAGTCAAGGGAATAGTCCCAATACAGTTGTACTCTGTTTTGGCACCTGACAAAGATACTACAGTGTGGATGACAGACGTCAACAGGGCTAGTGGTCAATGCTGCACACGTGGGTGTACGTGACATCCTGCTGCCTGCACACACTTTGTGCATAACACAGCTAAAAGCCTTTTTATTTTAGGACAAGCACTACATCCGCATTGACATCACAGATATGCATAAACAGCCCCTCTGGCAAGTTAGCGTCACAGAGATGTGTTGCTGAGGCGACACCCACTGCTTCCCCTATAATATATGTAGGACTCAGTATAGAGTCCATGCACTATATGATGTCCAGCACCCTATATAGAGTCCATTGGTCCAAAATCCACTATACAGAGTCCAGGAGTCCCCTCAGTTTTGATCAGCTTCATCCTGCCGCGCAATCCCCTATAAGGAGTACACTTTTTCTACAAGTCCCCTATTCACAGTCCAGGAGTCCAGTTTACCCAGTCACGCCGTCCTGTGTGTTGTGCCCGAAAGAGAACAAACACATTTTCAGTTTTGCTTGCCTCGTGGCAGCGCATTCCTTTCTTCACTTCAGCCATGGCTGCCAATTCTGCTGTGCAGTTGCTGACAGTAATCTGTCTCGATGTAACCAAGGAGGATAAGGAGACGTTCAAAATCAAATCTGGAAAGCGTCTTGTGGTTCTCTGAAGACGTTTCATCAGTGCGCGGGATGAAAGCAGAAATTGCAGAACGAGAAAAGTTCAGCACAGTTCAAATCTGACGAGTCAGGTACACTGACGCTCTCTTTCGTTCGACGCCACAAGGATCCCCTGTTTGGCTGGCCATTGCTGCCAGTAAGACGTTTGAACGGTTTCATCAGAGCGAGGGATGAAAGCAGAAAGCGGAGAAAGAGAAAAGTTCAGCACAGTTGCAATCTGACGAGTCAGATACACTGACACTCTCTTTCGTTCGACGCCACAAGGATACCCCTGTTTGACTGGACAAGAGCTGCCTGTACCACCGTGTCAAAAGGCTGTCCAACTACATGGCAGGACGATGACTGAGGTAAGGAAGCTTTTACTCGTTTCGATTGGTCTGCTGTTCTGTCGTTATGCTTGAATTTTTTTCCATTTTCAAGGAGCGTATCGCGTTTGTTTGATGTTGCTTGAATGAATGCACTAAAAGTAATCAACGACTTCGTAATAGTCCTCGAGGACTGCAAGGACTTTGCATCAATCGTATTATGATCGTCTAGCTATCATCAATTATTATTTTATTTCATGAGAAATGTATTTTTATCCCTGTGATAATTATGTGAACTCCACGACACTCTTCTTGTAGTATGATGTCAAATACAATGGGATCCACAAACGCAGTGCCAGTGTACTAGTAGTAGTAGTAGGACTAGGAGGATTGCTTGTATGCCAATGACAAGAAAAAGCTTCTCAAGCTAATACTCATATTCCCTGAAGTAACCGTTTTGATGTCACGAACATGACATTGTGTCAGTGAAACTGTCTCGTGACAACAAATCATTGCATTTCCATCTTGGGGAAGACCGTGGCTGACAGCAACGCTGTACAGATTGTTCAAATCATCTCATTTGAATTTAGTTGCAGTGAAGTGAAACACTGTGTACACTACATGTATGTTGGTGTGTCTGTGCGTCTTGAGTGTGCACAAACGATCTTATTCCTCATATTACTAATAGATTATTGTCCCCACCGTCACCTGTTCACAGGTCTTTGAGTGGGTTGACTTTCATTGAGCATCACATTCGTTGAGAACTTGGTAGTTGTGTGCTCCAATGCATCATTACGGTAATAAGCATATCCTTGTGCTATCTATTGGTTGCAGGTGTGCTGATCTTCAGAAGCTTGCGGAACTGAGTGCTGCTGAACATTTGCATGGCCATGAGCAATGGTGAAGCTTGCTATTGCACTCTCAGCATGTGCTAGTATTATGCTGACCACTGCACTATGTTACTCTCTTACACTACTACGTGTATGTAAACGTGCGTGTACCCGTCCCCGTATGCATTCGTTTCGTATAATTATTTGTTACCCATCTTGACTTTACATGTAAATGGGTGGGCGTTTGCATGGCTGTTGGAGTTGCGTGTGTATTGTGTCTCTACTCTTTTCTTGGTGTTTTCTTGGCGTTGTATAAGTTTGTGTGTGTGTGTGTGTGTGTGTGTGTGTGTGTGTGTGTGTGTGTGTGTGTGTGTGTGTGTGCGCGCGCGCGCGCGCACAATAATTTGAAAACAAATAATTAATCCTGGGCTCTCCATTATTCTCTTTCGATTCTTGGTTTTTTTCTAGGTATTTTCTTGGCGTTGTGTGGGTGTGTGCATGTATGTGTGCGTGCACAATAATTTGGCAACACTACATGATTGAGATATTGTAATTTGCAGCGTCTGCGAAGAGACCACTTGATTTGAGGATGGTGTTTGTAGGGTTTTTCATGTAATGAAGTGGCTGCAGTGGCGCCTCAATACATATTTTTTAATCTTGAGAAGTGAATGATGTATAGGATTAAAGGGAGAGGCCGTTTTCTGGTTAATATTCACTGCTTACAGCAGATCCTATGTCTATTTTCGAACTCGATAGGGGATGCGTAATTGGCTGGACTTTATACAGGGGGTGTTGTCCACATAAAGACTCTTTATAGTTGATTTCAAAGTTTGGACTCCGTACAGTTGATTTTGGACCAATGGACTCTATATAGGGGTGAAGCCAATTGGCTGGACTCTATACAGGGAGTGATGTCCATCGAAACTTTGAGCTCACAGTTGATTCCAAGTTTGGACTCTGTACAGTGGATTTTGGACCAATGGACTCTATATAGGGGTTGGACATCATATAGGGGCTGGACGCTCTACTGAGTCCAACATATATACCCCACCCGCCGCATACTGCAAACTGCCTGACGTTTGCTGCATGACGGTTACTGTGTATTGCCGGCATTGGTGTAGGGTGGAGTTTGCTCTTCACACATTCTTCACAAAGGAGTGATCACTGCATGGGCTCACCTTCACAGTCATACTCATTGCTATCTACTGCCTACTGCCTACTGCCTAATAGTAGTAGATATGCAATAGCATGTGCAGTACCGGCAATACATGAACTTAGTTATGTCGCACATTATTGCTATGTACACTGTACATGTACAGGTGTACATGTATTTCATATCCTAGATCCTCACACTCACAGCGAACTATTTTGCATGAGCGATTTTGTCAAACACAGACATCGCACAATCATGTACTATTGCGTATTGGTCAAATGAAATCAGCCTCGACCCTGCAGGCCCTTACTACTACTAGGCTTAGAACCACATAATCATTACTTTGTTCACCTACCACACGAATAGAAGGCTGATTTAGGCTTTTGCATAATTGCTTGCTATCATTATAATTATTATGATAAACTGCACATCATGGGATGGTGTGCCACCATGGATAGTAAGTAATTAGTTACGATTTATACATGTACATGTAGCTGCATGGGCCAAGCCTCTTTTCCTGTCAAATAAGAACACAGCGTGACCCCTGGCCCTATGTCTTTACACCATCCAAGCATCTGAGCAGAAGCAACACTGTTCCCTGCATTGGGACCATCACTGATTACCCTGGCATGACTGTGTGCATTGTGTGCAGCAGCTACTGGTGACAGATTTGTGTGTGGGTAGTGCAAGTGGGTGCCAGGCTATGGCTTTCTTGTTGTGTGAATAGGGATGTGTAGTCAGCATCATCATTGGCAGTTTGGCTCCACAGATTGCCTGTTGATGTGCACACCTAGAACATAATTGTCATTGCTGGTTGACTCTTGTCTTGAGTGATGGCCAACACCATGTTAACAGTGTACCATGTCACCTCTACACCTCTAGTAGGCTCTACCTCACAATGGGCAATGGCTCACAAGCATGCACTCCAGCTTGGCTCCAACGCTTCCATGTCCACTCTCCTCAGTATTCAAGGGTGTATGTGGCACCCTGACTCCCAGGCCGCCTACAGTGACTCCCTGACACTACGAAGTCTCCATTGTATCTGGCATCAATTCTGCACTCACAGACCTTTCAAGAGTCCAGCACAAGGACTAGTTGAACTGGAGCACTAACCTCTGCTCCAAGTCCAAGTCCGGTGATGCGGAAGTACGTTCTGGAAGCCATCACTCAACAGCGCTATAGCTATCAGACCATTACTCGAGTTAGTTCCCTAGCCTAGGTCAGGACTGACAGCTAGCAAGTGTTCCAGAGGGCCTCCGCCTCCGGTAATCCATTCAAGTCATAATAATTATCACGCAAAATGAAATCGCTCTATTTTTAGTATTTTTTACCATCATTGGCTCCTCGATCTACATCAGTACATATGTGGCCGTGTCCGCACACCCGCGGCGGTGGACAAACAAAAGGCCAGCCCCGACACTTCTTCTGTTGCAGGCAACAGCTGATCGCCGCTAGGATACAGTCAGCTCATTTCGCCTCTGTCCATGCATGGCGCATGCGGCATGGCCTGGCCTGATCAACTGTCAAAACGGGTTGTTCTTCGGGCGCGACAGGACGCACTTATCGCCAGATGCAGGAGTGGCTGCACTCGATGTCAGCTAACTCTGATCAGGTAAAGTGATTCAAAATCTCAGCTTATAAATAGGACCCGACGATTTACTGGGTAGTAATGTAACGGTCTGACTTTCCAACTGGTTTGTTGCTTTCTTTCTTCTTCCTCGACCAGCAATCACCCCCACCAACGACACGTAGCGAGTAAATATAACCATCTTGCTACTCCGACACTGTCCTGAAGTGGAAGCCTGTGAGTTTGACGGTCCGATCAGTCCGGTCAGTGGAAAATGGAACTCCGATCTCGCGACCGAACACAATCTGACTGCGTTCGAAACGGTCTGCGAAGTAGAGATGTCTCGCCTCTGCCTCTGGCAACCCTCACTTCCAATCAACTGCACAAACTGCTCGGCGATGAAGAGTGTGCAGATAGGAAGCGTTCTGTCAGCATATCCGGCTTGCGTCGTTCGAGGACATTCACGGCTGCGGACAGCACGCGCAACAGACGGATAGTTCCCGTGCTTCAAAGCTCCACGATCACCATGATCACAGCCACCCCATCCACGGCCACGGCGGCATCGAGCAGTGAACAGAATCGAGAACGGTGCTCGTCCCTGATCTACACAGATTGTGACAGCTGCCCCCAACCTGCGCGCGTTAGTCGATCTACGTCGATACGAAGTAGAGTAGTGAACAGATCCAGTGGAGGGCGTGTGGCCGCGGCCAAAACTGTTGGGCGCACTCCGCCACCATTGGGCAGGTCTTTCTCCGTCTTGCGCCGAAATTCATCTTCTCTCAGGAGAATGAACAGCCTACGACCACCACCGTCCGAAGCGCAGACCGGTCCTGCAGCTGCAGCAGCCAGTGGACCGGCGGAGCAGTTTGTGGTGAGTACTTGTCGGAATATCGATCTGTGACTGTCATAGCTTTTTACTTTCCTGCTGCGCAAAGCGGCGGGAGAAAACGAGCAGCAAATACGATACTATTACCTGGGCAGCGTAGACCTACTCGCAGCTGATGATCGCTGAGCGTTCGGACTTATAATCTTCTGAGTTCTGTTCAAGCGATATTCTGGGTCTTTATCCAGACAGATTTCATAGTTCACTGCATTCTTACGACTGCAAAGCGTCGAGAAGGTTGCAGCTGGACGACCTAGTACCTGCAGTTTCTTGTAGTTGACCGAAGTACACCCAGTATGGCAGTAGCAACACCAGCCGCTGTATAGGCTACATTTTGAAACAGCTGCCGCGAAAACGGTATACATGTACAGGAACTGAGTTACAATAGTGAGTAGAACATGAAGTGTTTGCCACCTACACTACAGACTCTGACTAATAACCTTGTTTGTATTTATTGGAAGGTTAGTCTAGCAGAGATTGTGTGGGCATGCAATCCTCTTTTGTGAAAAATTTAAATGGCAGAAATTCTAGAGAAATCTTCCCACACATCCTTTGTTTCCCTGGGTGTTGTGATGGCTGAGATAGCTGTGCACACTGTGTTTGATCTTCGTTCGCAGAGTTTAATGTTTGGTACACCAGCTAGAATAAATTAAAATTCAATTATACTAGCTGGTGTCCCAAACATTAAAACATGTGGAATGGAACAGAATCAGAGATGTGGTGTGTGCTTTCCATCACAGTATCCAGGGTTTTGTCTAGAACTAGTGACTCAAGGAACAATTTGGATTGTAGGTTTATGACTGCTGGAACGGGCAGAGGAGGGGGGGGGGGGGGGACTACAAACAAAAGCAAAATGTGCTTATTCCAAAGGACAATTTGGTACAAAAGTAGTTAACTGAGATTTGTGTCAGAATCATTGCAGTCATTGCGACCTGAAAAATGTCTTGTGTTCTGCATCCCATCATGCTGGGAGAAATGGTAAATGCATGTGTTTCGTACGTTACTGTCTAGATGTGTGCACATTGATGATATCAGTTTGCCCATTCTAAATGTGCCTACATTCTCTATTGCTTCTGGTTCTTGCTGTACAGCCAAAGATCGCCATTGTCGGTGCAGAAGCAACTGGCAAGAGCACAATTGTGACAAGATGGCTGAAGGGCTCGGCACCGCAGTCCACGTTTTACGAGCCAACCATCGAAGATCGTTTCCAGCACACAACAACAATCAATGGACGTGAACAGGTTGTGGAGATTATCGATACGTCCGGTGCGGATGACCTAGGCGAGATGCGTTACCAGAGCATGAAGTCTGCCCACGCCATTGTGCTGGTGTATGACATTACGCAGCCAACATCGCTGAGCTGGCTTCGTCAGGCTTACCATGACATGCAGCGCTCTGATGTCGATCACAGTGCCATTCGCCCAGTCCTAGTGATGGTCGGTAACAAGGTGGACTGTCAGGAGAGACGTCAGGTGAGCAGTCTGGATGGAGCAGCCATGGCCAAGGACCTCTTCCAGTGTGAGTACATGGAGACATCTGCACACTCAGGAGTCCAGGTCGATGAAGTTCTCAAACGAGTCGTCAAGCAACTTGGGAAAAAAGCAAGCGTTCTCTCCAAGGCATCTGTGTCACGTAGCCGCAGCTTCTTGCAGAAAACCGTTGGCGCGATCCGTCCAAAACGCCGCCCAAAGATTCCTACCCAGTGGGATAGTAGTAGTGGTGACATTGCGACACTCCGACCCACCACACGCGGAAATGTTCGCATGAAGAAACCAGCAGCCCAGCCTGGCGAGTCTAATGTCTGATGGCAAGGCTCCATCATTGTTGACTGCTGCAGACCAGCTGCTCAGAAGCTCAGAACTCTGTTTATGCTTATTGATTCTGCTTCATTGTGGACATCACATGCAAATGTGCATAGCTTGGGAGGACAATTTTGGAACTCGTTCGACTGCTGTATTTCCTTTCGAAATGCCTCAATTTCCAGTGAATATTATGGGGATCGATATAACGGACCACATCAAGGTCCATTAATTTCATTATTGCTTGGTTGAATTCACTTCTACACTACCTGTATCCGTATTTGCCTTGATTTCAGTGTAATATGACCCTTTCGGCTGAAGTTCTATTCTATTCCAACTGCAGGTGGACTCCAGATCATAATCATAAGTTGTTCAAAACTTGATAACGACTACCAGTACTCTTCCAGTTGCGTTGATTGACACGGACACCAGCTGCACTCTACACGCAGTGTGTGCGTGTGTGTGTCCGTGTGTACATGTGTGTGTGTGTGTGTGTGTGTGTGTGTGTGTGTGTGTATGTATGTGTGTGTGTGTGTGTGTGTGTGTGTCCCATATGGTGCAGTGGTATGTGCAGCGATTTCCAATCGATAGGTTGCGGGTTCGATTCCCGACGATTATGGTCACACACGTCTTTCTTCTCTTTCTAAGACTCTTCCTGACTTTTCTTTCATTCTCCTGGGTGGTTACCAACAGCCAGTGCATGCCGGAGTATGTGGTGTGATGTGTGTGCGGGAAAAAAAAGAAAAAAAAGACCAAAAATAGGGATTCACTGGCCAGAAAAAGTCACTTCAAATAGCTGTATGGTGTAGACCAGGCTGAATAGTGACGGTCAATTCTTCAGCCTTGCAAGCTGTTGAATGGTGCAATCCCAGCACAAGCTGCTATGGCATCTGCCGTAGCATTGCTATCATCGCCTCCGGCGATGGGCGTCAAAGGTCAAAGGTGTGTGTGTGTGTGTGTGTGTGTGTGTGTGTGTGCATGTGTGTGTGCATGTGTGGGATGTGCTGTAGTGAGTAGGGAATGCTTTGTCAAGGTGAACAATCACTTTCATGCTCAGAAGTAATAGCATAATCATGTAGTAATAGGCTAATAATTACTGTGTTGTGTCCGAGATGAGGCATCTCCTAATTCGGTCTCCATGTAGTTTGAGTACTTCTTTTGAAATACTACAACTGTTACTGTAGTACTAGCAGTAGTAGTAGTAATTTCCTGATTGGATCACATGACCACACAGTGATTTTACTGTTAGATCATGATGACACGTCCCGTGCACTATACTACAGCAACAGGGGCACATGGAGACTGCCTCCTTGGCGCCGTCCATCAGTCTACCCAAACTACCAAAGCACTTTATTTCATTCATTCAAATGAAACGTCATGATTGATGCACTCTCCATATTGTCACTCCTAAAAGTGCCTCTCTCAGCCTCATTGTCCTTGTTTGGATTACTAATACAGTACCTGTAATATAAATTGCACTCCTAAGTCCACTGGGTGTATACATCACATAATACTGGGCTATTAGCTTCCCTAAGCTAAGGCTAAAGAGTACATAAGTGCCGAGAGAGTAGAGTTTACAACGCACACAAAATGTCTGTCACGACTTGTTTTCGGATTTACGTCCGCTTTCATGATGTAATCCACTACTAGACTGTACCCCAAACTGTGTTTTGCCACAATGACGGGTGGGTGTACTCTTGTACAGTCCTTGGCTTCATTGTATTGATCCGCATGCATTCCAGCATATGTATCGTACATGTAGTAGCGTGCAGGTACATGGAAGAAGATACATGAGGGTCAGTCGGGGCAGCTCGGGGGGGGGGGGGGGGGGGGGGGTGCAGTCTGATGATCGCCCAGTGCGTGAAACTAACTTGAGTTCAAGTTAGAGCGAGACAGCGAGACAGCCTACCGTCTCCTGTACTTACATCGTTTTTCAGATGACAAGTTCAAAATTTAGTCCGTGCTATAGACTGATAGTCACAATAATGTGCAGAGCTGTGTATGATATTTCATGGACATAGGGATGACAACTGGATATGCACACTACAGCTATAGCATTGTCTAGACGTTGGTATCACGTGCGAATAATAAGAGAAACCCGGGAGAAATATTTTGTTGGTCTGCAGTTGAATTCTGAACCATACCTACTGGTACACAAATGAAACAATCGTTTTCTGTTCCCGCATAACGTTCCACCTTATGTTCACCTTCCCAGTTCTCAGATAACATTCCTGTCCTTTCTCTACCAGCTACAGTCCCTTCACCAACAAACTCTATTCATCATGAGTATGCAGTTTCAAGCTAACATCTAGTGCTCACAATTCCACGAACTACATCGGTCTTCTATGAAAGTTACTATGAGTTCTTCACTAGCGCTTTTCTGAAGTATTTGTATAATGACACTGAGCTACTGAAGCTCTGTGCTGGTATCATTCTAAGAATATGGTCTGTAATTTCAAAACTTAACAACGGAAGTAACCCTAAAAATATAAAAATCTATGTACTAAGAATTGCGCAGCAGAATCTAATTACATGTACACAAATACACAAATAATCGACACGGGACCAGACAACACGGATACAATACAATAAAAGGACAATAATTTGATAATGCTATTCTTAGAAACTAATTATCTGGATTGTTTCTTACGTGCAAAAACCTACAGTGACACCTTCTTCTAAAATTTGACATCCAGACTACAGTTTTTCCTTCAATTACACCACCTCTACAATAATTTCATAAGAGATAAGACTGAGTTAAATTTGCTAATATCTTCACAATAAATAGGCTGAGCAGTCATTATGCATCCGGTGTTCTTGATAAATATTCATGCAGACACCAGGCACCATTGTGTGTTCACTGCTGAGAGGTTGCTCTAGCCACAACAACAACGACACAGAAAATCCAACTTACTGGTTTGGCAAATCCTGATGACTGGTGGGCTAGTATGGCATGGGTGGTAAAACTATTCTCGCAGCTGGCATGAATGCTATTCTCCAGAGATCTGCTACCCACAAAACTAGCATCATTGTTGCCAGCGCCTCCACAACAACCCGTCCCATGGTCCACGATTCAAACTTTCCTTCGTCCAAGCGACTGAACATAGGGAAGGTTACCAGGAAGAGCAGGGCGTAGAAGATTGTGCCAACAGTGAACATCCGAGCTGGGCTCTTGTATGTGTAGTATGGAAAGCTGCTTATTGTCCAAGTCTCCATGAATGCGACCGAGGTACAGAACATACCAAGCAGCAGCGCAGTCAGGATAGACTTCAGCCATTTGCCACCGAGGTAACGGTCACACAGACGTCGTTGCACCCGTAACGTCGCACTGGCCACTGTGTGGTACAGGCAAAAGTACGGATGTGTCATGATGTACATGCTGATCGGTACCCCATTCAGGCTGAGGCCTCTGCCCGGAGCCAGCGGTCCGACATATCGCACGTCCAGCAGGCGGTAGAAATAATGTGTGTAGAAGTAATTGGCCGTGATGGCCAGTACAGCTATGTACACATTGGCTTTGAACACATAGCGTGAAGACAGTGGTAAGTCCTCGTCCACACAACCCGGAATTAGAAGAGGTACTACCCATGCGGGAAGAGCTATAAACGACGCAAATAATACGTAGTGAATGGATTCAAAAAACTCGTACAGCTGAGTAAGCACCACCAACGCCATTAGAGCCACCCAGAAGCAGGAGTAGATGAGGAAAAAACACTCTCCCCAGCGCTTGCTCGCATTACTGGACTGGATCAAGCCACATAAGGAGGTGCTGTTCTCTGCTTCATAGTTCGAATTTTGTCTTGCTGACATGATTCAAATCCAAAATTAATAGCGCTATTTCCTTGATGCTGCCGTTTTCCTCTTGACTAAATGCCACAGCAATCAGATTGAGCAGTACGACTACGACTAGTATTTACAATAACCTACGTATCACTCGATTGTAGTGACAAACAACAACGCTCACGTAGTAGGTATTTTGTAGGATATTTTCCTGAAATGCGAAAAGCTAAAGAGGCAGACTTTTCGGATTTCACCGTTTCTATTTCGCGATTTTCCTTGTTTTTTTTATCCTTGGCTTTGTCCTTCATGAGTCACATTGAGCCGACGCCGCATTGACGCCAGTATATCAGTACAATGCATGCCGCTCAGGGAGTCGTAAAATACCTTGTTATTTTACGACTCCCTGATGCCGCTACGAACCGGTACGGTACGAGGTGATTTGGCTTTTGGCATTTTTTAACAAGTGTGTAAAATTTGCTTTTCTTCTGGCTGTTTCTCTGCTCTGGATGGCTGTATCGAAACATGGGTGGTGGCAAATGGGAGCCAGTTTATCGTAGATCAACATTGACCAGAAAATTTGGTGCATATAATTTAATTCTCCCTGTCACGTTGGTATAACTAGTGGTGGGTGCTTTGCCATTTTGTGTAAAATGTGTAAAATGAGCCCCTGAATGGACGAGGAGGGCAGTGACTGCTTCCGCAGGGCCTTTGGACGACGTCAGGCCGTCTTGCCATCACTAGAGACAGTACTGGAGAACAGTAGGTCACGGAATGCACTCTGTGAGAACGAAAACATCGCTGCGATGCTATGCTATCTATCCAATTCCACCGTATATTAGTTACAAATACAAAACACGGCTTTCGCAGCATACAATGCAGTTTACTCCTCTGTTCACAGATTAATTTTCATCCACTAGCAATCCTTGAAGTGATATCTATCAACTTCAGAACATTGATGACCGAATATCCCAGTTTGTGATGCCATTTTACAAATTTGTTAAAAAATGACACACAAATTATTTGAATCCTGAGAATACTGTGAAAGTAGGACATGATTCAAGACACTTTCCAAAGTGGGATCATTCCCATTTTTGGACACAACGCCAACGGGCATGAAGGATAGCACTTCCACTTGCAACAATTCATTTGGACGTAACTTGTCTAGAAGTGACTGAAAAAACGTCATTTTACAGTGACCATGTTAAAAAAAAGCCAAACCACCTCGTACCGCGGTATATGACGCGAGTGCAGCTGAAAATAATAATTATCAGGGAGTCGTAAAATACCGCGGTATTTTACGACTCCCTGATATTATTTACTAGTCAGTCCCTACTCGTTTCAGAGGCATGTTGCCATGCCAAATTCATGTCAGACACACACATTTCAGGGTTTTTTTTCGCCGGTACACGGATAATGAATTCACACAGTGTGCTTATAATGGAGACTGACCACTTTATTTTTTGAATGCTGCCCCAAGGTGTTCTATTATTGGAGACGTGCTATTATTGGAGACTGTGCTTTTATTAGAGATAATACGGTAGTGCAATTATATGGACTCTTGGTGTAACAGTAACACAACTTAATAAGCCGAACTCAGAGTCAGTGTCGCCGCGTGGCTGCCTCAGAGCCCGGGTCTCAATCGGAAGTCACGGGCCAGGATCATTTGAACTCACGGTATGCACTGATCACAACGGTCCCTGCACGCATGGCTGTTGTGTTCATGATCATACCGGTTTGCTTACTGTGATCTTCGCGATGGCCGGTGTGAAATCGCAAAGTATTTACGCAAAGCGCAGAACTGTAGTAAAGAACCTGAGGAAATTGACTTCCGAGTCAAACATTCAGTCCACATGCAAATTTGCCCGTGCTCGCAACTCACGAACTAAACTGAACCGGCACAAATGGGCTGGTGTTCAGTAGTTAGCCGTTCTACTGGATCATCAGTGTTGTGGCAAGTTCCCCTACAATCACGAGTGCCGCACTGGTATATTGGTTTACTGTGCAGTGAACACCACGGCGTGCACTACCATCACCGACCATAAGAATTATCAGTAGGCAAACCATGCCAAGACGCACAGGAAAAAACGAGAGAGCTTGGAAGCTCAGGGCCCTACGCTATGCTTTTTGCCTTGATGACCTAGACAAAAAAGCATAGGGATGTTATAAATTCTTATAAGTTTCTACTTTTTGTTTTTGGACATATAAACCTGGGATTCGAACCCGCACTATCGCCCTGCATGCATCCCCCCCCCCCCATACACTTCGCATACATACTAATTCTTCCAAGTTGCTTCACGTTATGATCTTGTATTTGAAAGCCCTATTTGAATATGCATTGTGGCCAGCATCCGTCTTTGATTGGACGGAACGGTACGGGATAGGTACGGGACAGGTACGGTCGAGGGTAATACGACACCGTCTACCGCCTTGATGACGGCAAAAAAAGAAAAGGGATGTTATAAGTTTTTCAAGTCTCCTATTTTTTCAGGCATTACCTGGGATTCGAACCCGAACTATTGCCCTACATGCATTCCCCCATGAACTTCGCATTCATACTAATTCTTCTAAGTTGCTTCACGTTTAATATGATCTTGCGTTTGAAAGCCCTATTTGAATATTGTGGCCAGCTGTATGTGGCCAGCTGTGTTTCACGGTACGGTACGGTATGGGACAGATACGGGATAGCGCCAGGCGTGACACAAACACACAACACACAAACAAACACCAAATTAAAGCTGTGTGGACCCTGGCTAGCGCCAGACGTTACTGAAGTAACGTCTTCTGCATAGCTACGGGAATAATGATGATTATTCACAGGGCCACTGTGCACATAATGCAAACTGTCTAACGAAATAGAGTGGTAATACTTAGCCTGCGGTGATTCTCGTAACTACTTGTATAATATTGACTGATATTGTTCTACAGGTGGAATCCTGATAATTCGAACCTCAAGAAGCCAGGAAAACACTTCTAATTATCCGGACATTCTAATTATCCAAACATGAACCCACAACACAATATGTATGTCAAAATGCTCTCGCGGTCACGCAGAGTTGCGCTATGGACGAATAGACACAGATTTCGCGGATACTGAACTGACCGGCACAGCCTGCTCATGCAAACTGAACTGACCAGTACAATGTACAGTGAACTTCGAATTATACTTTGCTAGCTTCGAATTATCAGCACAAATCCCACACATTTTCGATGTGTAATAAAGTGGAATCTGTGGGACTTTGAATTAACCGGACATATCCAGTTCGAGGTTCGAATTATCAGAACTTTTTATGTGGGACCCGTATTGCTAGAAATCGGTCCTGGAAAAACTTCTAATTAAGCGGTATGTTCGAATTAAGCCATATTCGAATTATCAGGATTCCACCTGTACTGTGCAAACCACATGACAAAAGCGTCTCACCGATACGAGTGGCAGAATATCTGAATGAACGAACATTGGTAGCTAGCCGGAATCATGACTTTTGTTTTCGAGGAGTCGAGTTGTGTGGGAACGCAGCCCCAAATGGGTGTCGAGCTCCATCTAACACATAACATTACCAAGGAAAAAGTGTCAAATATGTAGCAGAAATTTGTCAGGTATACACACGCCTTGCAATCGTTTGTAACAAACATTCTCCAGAGTAGTACCTTCATTACTGGTCAGACTTCAGTCGGATGATGATCTTCATGAGAGAGAGTGTCAGTCTTCTTCAAACCCGGACACTGGCGTCAGCTTGAATACCTCAGCACCATGTGGCTGGACGTGAGCAGTGAGCTGGTCCATCGGTGACGGCATGTCCTTATGATTGTACAGGTCACGTACGTTGGCCTTCTTGCTGCTCATGCCTGGTAGTATGTTGAACTCAAAGGTGATGTTGTGCGCATGATCATCATCCTTGTTGTACAGAGCAATAGCGAACGTTCCATTGGAAAGCGGCTTTGCCCACAGCTGGCAGATATCGGACGAGTCCTCGCCACTGCCGCAGTGCCAATCTCCCACTTTATCTCCGCCGACCCCAAGCTTATCCTGATTAACTGCAATGAGCTCCTTGTTGAGAAGCGTAGCTTTCATGACGTCAGTCATGTTACGGATGTCCGTGGCAACCAGTAACGGAGAGGCCATAATGCACCACATGATGAACTCTGTCTTGTACTCGGTGTCGGTCATGCCTGGACAGTGCTTGCCTGGCTGATTAAAGCTGCAACCCTGGCCGCCAGTCATGAGGAAATCAAGATCATTCCAGCCACCTGGTCCAGCATACTTGCCCAAACCGATATTGTGCTCAATGATACCACTGGTTGATTTCCAGTCATCGTGATGGTCTGGCCCAGATCTCCATGAGTTTGCATACTCATGCATCCATTCCCATGGATTATCCACGCCCCATTCACACGAGTTGAAGAAGATTGGCTTGCCTGTGGCGTTGAGGGCTGCCGACATTTGCGAGTACTGCTTGTGCGGATCCAGTTGTGTGCCATTGACTTTGGTGTTGCACCAGTCCATCTTCACGTATTCCACGTTCCACGACGCGTACGTATTCGCATCCTGTTCATAGTGACCATAACTGCCAGGTATTTTGTGGTCACGTGTACCAGTGCTACACGTGTAGATCCCAGAGTCAGTGTACAGACCAAATTTGAGCCCTTTCGAGTTGACATAGCGAATGGTGTCGGCAAAGTTTGGGAAACGATCGGTATCGGCTAAAATGTTGCCTTTGGCGTCTCGTTTGTCTGCCCAGCAGTCGTCCATATTGATGTACTGGAAGCCAACATCCTTCAGTCCGTTGTCGACCATGGCATCTGCGATGGCTCTCACCTCCATGTCATTGCACACGTCCAGGCCGCAATGTCCTTGCGTGCACCAAGTGTTCCACCCCATCGGCGGCACCAGACCCAAGCCATTGTTCACCGCAGATGCTTGGTGACTTAGCGCCACCAACGTCACCAGGACATAAGCTACTGACAAGAACATCGTTCTGCCTTCTAAAACTCGTAACCAAGGACCAGTGCCAAGTGGCGAGAACGATGAAAGCTGAAGTCCTGGAGTCACTTTCTCAACACGGCCTTCAACCGCCTGGACCATGAGAAAGTGCTGACTACACTCATTTGCAGTCAAAATAACCTCGAAGTCAACAGCATGCCACGTGACATGTATTAGTAGGATACACACGTAGATCTACACGTAGACTCGAGATCAACAACGTTACGTAACGACGTAGATGCACTATCAGGTCTATACTAGATCTACATGCCGGTAAGGCCGCGGCGTCAGCTTTGCTCGAGCTTCGTCATTAATTTTTGTGAGAGCTTCGACACTTGATCCATGCAAGAAGGCAGCGAGCTAGCTAGCTAGCAATCCCTGGTTATTCTGGGGAAGTAAAATAAAATATATATTTCCAGCCAACCAAATGAAGCAAGCGGAGAGGGAGGGGGTGGACGGCAACTCACAGAGTATGCCAGATGCATGTACACCGGACATGTACAGGACCCAGTACCGGTAACCGTATAATTATGTAAACAAACTCAGTTACTGTTCTGGTAATGACATAAGTATGTCATTACCATCCTCCCGATCCCTGCGATCAAGGGTACATAACCCCCCAGAGTGTGCAACGCCTGATCCAGCTCTGCATAGGGTCTTGGTAGAGTGGAATTACGGCAGCAGCAATGTACTATTGCTGCTTTTCTGAATGTTACGCGGCAAGCAAGAAAATAAATCCTAGACACGTAGACTAACAGATATACTTGTCCATGCCGGCAAGAAGACATGGGCATTGGGCAGGCATGTAATATAATTATTATTCTGAAGTACGCTATACTATTCTGAAGTACATCTAGATGAACAGTAGGCCAACCGGCCAGGTAAATAGTAGACTGAACACATAATGTCTACCCACAGTGCTTCAAAGTTTGTCTTATCTACCACCAGCCATGCATGTATCTACTATCTGCAGTTCTGCACAGAATATTACCGGTATACTGCCGTAAGACACAAGCTAAGTTTCTAAATACTTGCAAAAGTGCTGGATACCAGCACGAGAGCAGAGCCAAATAGCCTTGTTCCCGTTACTGATTTGTGTACTACTCGCATAGTAAAATGGGGGGATCCATGCACCTGTGCACAACTATTAAGCTCTAGTGTATTTCAAACGATAGTGGTCAATGCTTGGGGGCTTGAGAGTGTTTCTGATATAAGTATGGTCCTGCAGAACACACAGCACAGTGAAAATATGTACATGCGCTATCTTCCAACATCCGCCCTTAGGCTGAAGTGTTGTCGGTGGTGATTGGAGTCAGTTTGAAGACTTCTGTGCCGTGAGGTTCAACAGGTGCGGTGATGCTTGCCATAGGTGATGCATATTCTTCGTGCGTATATAAATTACGGACCTGTGCTTTCTTACCAGTCATGCCCGGGAGAAGACCAAAGTCAAATGTAATGTTGTGTGCTTCATTATCATCTTTGTTGTAAACAGCAATGGCAAATGTCCCATTGACCAATGGCTTAGCCCACAGCTGGCAGAGGCTGGCATTCCCAGAGCAGTTCCAATTCCCCACTTTATCTCCGCCGACCCCAAGCTTATCCTGATTAACTGCAATGAGCTCCTTGTTGAGAAGCGTAGCTTTCATGACGTCAGTCATGTTACGGATATCCGTGGCAACCAGTAACGGAGAGGCCATAATGCACCACATGATGAACTCTGTCTTGTACTCGGTGTCGGTCATGCCTGGACAGTGCTTGCCTGGCTCGTTGAAGAAAATACCACAGCCCTGTCCACCGGTCATCAGGAAGTCAAGGTCATTCCAACCACCAGGTCCTGCATACTTGCCCAACCCAATGTTGTGCTCAATAATGTCACGCGTTGACGCCCAGTGATCGGAATGGTCGGGACCGGATCTCCATGAGTTTGCATAGGTCCTCATCCACTCCCATGGACTGTCTTTGCCCCACTCACACGAGTTGAAGAAAATTGGCTTTCCTGTCGCGTTCAGGGCAACCGACATCTGTGCATACTGCACGTGTGGATCCAGGTCCGTTCCATTTAGTTTTGTATTGCACCAATCCATCTTCACGTACTCCACATTCCAGGATGCGTATGTCTTGGCATCTTGCTCGTAATGACCATAGCTCCCAGGTATTCTATGCAGTCGCGTTCCAGTACTGCACGTGTATATGCCTGCATCGGTGTACACACCAAATTTGAAGCCTTTCTCATTCACATATCGAATGGTGGCCTCGAAGTCAGGAAAGCGTTTCGGATCAGCCACGATGTTGCCGTTGTCGTCCCGTTTGTCTGCCCAACAGTCGTCCATATTAATGTATTCGTAACCCAGCTCTTTCATTCCGTTCGTGGTCATTGTGTCCGCTATTTCTCTGACCTCTTTGTCGTTACATCTGTCCAGTCCACACAACCCTTGCGTGCACCAAGTATTCCAGCCCATTGGTGGTACGAGACCTAGGCCATTCTTCAAAGCAATGACATGCTGCAGGCACTGGCAGCAGAGAACAAGTAACGCGAGAGTCACGACCATCGCAACAGGAGCTAGGCACCAGTTGTTTGGAAAAACGGAGAAGGGGCGAGTTTCGAGGAACAATGCTATTAGCGAAAATTGTGGAAACTATCAATCCATCAACCTCCTCGGGCTTCTGTGACTTTGTTTTGAGTTTGATTGATTTCCGATACTAGAGTAACTAATAATCGATAGCGCACTGACATGACGTGAGAGTCTGTCATTTTTTACATGACCCCCCCCCCCCCCCCCGCACACCACCAAAACTGCAAAAGGCTGGCCCTAAAAACTAGTAAAAAATGGCAATGGAAAGCCGTAGATCCATGGCATCAGTGTAACCAGAGCTGATACTCGGTGAGAGTGAGAGCTCGCGGTCGAGAGGCAGTAGACTCGGTGAGAGTGAGAGCTCGCGGTCGAGAGGCAGTAGACTGGTACATCTACTCGTGAAAGCCGCTTTCACCCATTTCACGACTCCATAATCAGTGCCGCCATGATGGTGGAATCTGCACACAAATGCAACTGAACACTGGGGGTCACTGCCACAATGCATCCGCAACTGCTCAAGTGTGAACGGGTCGGGAGTGATCTCAGCCAGGCTTGCCAAGTCCAGAACTCATTTGAGCCTTATGTTGATCTTTCCTTTTCAGAACAAATCAATATATTTTTCAATTCACGTCATGTGACTTCGTTGTTACAAGTACAATGCAGGCAGCGGTACAACATTTCTTTTTGAAAGAAGACAGGGCCTACCTGTAGGGACAGGGCCTACCTGTACATGCTGTAGGGCGACCCCTAATATAAGTCTAAGATTAGGAGTGCGCGGATCAAGGTAGTACCGTACAGTAAAAGTATAGTAAAGTCGCGGCACATCCGCGTTACCACCGGCTCAGTTGCAATTGTATTGAGCAACAAAACCAGCTTTAGAGAAGTTTCGCTCGTGCCACAAGGTACAGTACATGTATTAACTTGATACTACTTGGAATGCAGTACATGTATTATGAATAATATTGCAACACGTGTGATGTAGTGGAGATGCAGTGGATTTAGGCTTTATATTAGAGTCATAAACTCGTTGTCACATGATCATGGTTCTAATTAAATAATACAGCATTACAGGCAGCAGCACCAGCAGCTGACAATGGGCGGTACCACAAGCACACTTCATGACAGATAGAAAATGTGGCTGACGATGTATGCGGGGTGCTAGCATTCAAGGTCTAATGTCGAAATGATAATGACAAAATGGATGTCCATCGACGTGACCCTACAAAGGAAATTGATGGAGAATTGGAAAGCACAGCACCTGGCCATATCATGCTCATAATGAATACACAGCAAAATAGAATACAAATGTAATACTTTTATGATAATCATAATTATGGTTGTGAGATTTAGACACTGTGGCATGGGCTTTTAAAGCTTGTCCACTGATTCTGCCCATGGTGTGTATGAGTAAACAGCGACTGTGAACGCGGTGCACTGAGCAGTTGGGTTGGCGGCAACAGTGCATGTCTACCTATGCAGGTGTAGTGGGAGATGTATGTACATTTTCTCTATCACACACTGAATTGACGAAGCATAACTGCCTGATAGTTCTGTGGCACAGCCATGGTTACTTCCCTAAAGCAAACCGACACGTGGGAAAGCAACGTCATGCAGTCATGCGGTGCACAGTCATGCGGTGCACTCTCATGCGATACACAGTCATGCACTGACTACATCATTCTACACGCTCGGTACTGTTGGTCCACTGCCGCATTTCTATCATGCGTTCCACAACATGATTCACACATCACAGTATGTGCAGGGACGCAGCCAACATCGATGGCAGGGTCTCCAGGGCTTATAACCATGCTGATCATCGATGGCAGGGTCTCCAGGGGTTATAACCATGCTGATCTGAGGGAATAGTTCGGGAAGGAGTTCAAAATAGCGAAGGTAGTTTCAGGAGATAACAAAGAAAAGTGATGACACCGCAGGAGTAGGGGTGATGGGAAACCTCAGGCCCTGGTTATTCCCCTAAAAATCCCCTGGCAAGGGTGGTGGGAATTGACAAATGGCTGGAATATAGGAGGAGCAACTTTTCTGCTCAACCGTTATGCCATGACCTGTGTATAGTGTGACCGTTGTGTCGGTAACATTCTTGGTGACAGCACGGCACAGTCGACTGGGGTCACGGCTTGGAAACGGCGGGGCACCATGCCTGAGGTCCAGGTCTTCTTCCCTCTGCCCTTCGTAGTAGCCCAACGGAGCTGCAAGTAAAAAAAAGCAAATGCATTTCTCCTGCACTTATTCCTGCATATACAGTGTCATGCGCTCAAAATTCTCTGCATGTACACTACAGTACATGTACACTACACAGTGCATGTACCCTACAGTACATGTACACTACAGTGCATGTACACTGTACAGTGCATGTAGACTATACAGTGCATGTACCCTACAGTACATGTACACTATACAGTGCATGTACACTACAGTACAGTGCATGTACAGTACAGTGCATGTACACTATACCATGCTATACAGTGCATGTAGACTATACAGTACATGTACACTACAGTGCATGTAGACTATACACAGTATACAGTACATGTACACTACAGTGCATATACACTACAGTGCATGTACACTACAGTGCATGTAGACTACAGTACAGTGCATGTAGACTACAGTGCATGTACACTACAGTACTTTAGATAGGGATTTCAGGCGGTTTTTTATTATCAGCGTTGTGCTCCAGTTCACGCGTTTTTCTGAAGCATCTATGTCCACAGAATGTCTACAGAAAATTTGACCGGAATCGGAGCAGTATTTCCAAAGTTATGAGCATTCAAACATAGCGCACCGACCTTGATGAACATGTATACAAATTGGATCTGCAGGATGGCACAAAGTGGATTTCTGAAACTCCCTAGCAACATCATAGCAACCATAAACTTCATCCGATCGTGACCAAACTTGGCTCAAGGATGGCCCTGGCTATGATGGCACCAAAAAAAACATTTTTTTTTTCAAAATTCAAAAATACCGCCAAAAAAAACAACAATGGCATCCTTAGCAACGGCCCTAGCAACAGCATGTTTCACGCTTAATCCGACATGGTAATGGGTGGAATATGACTGAAATAGGGAAAAACGCAACATGGAAGTTATACAGCATATATTTGGAGAATAAATCTACTTGAGTAGTAGTTGACAACAAGCTGTGGTGTCAAACCGGATCCGTTTTCGGCTGCAATGAGTCAGAGACGCACGATAGCCGCAGCAACGGACACACATGACATTGTACTTGAGACTACCAGTATTGTACACAGAAACCAGCCAGCTGTGAGTATTTGTCAGAGATACATTGAGTAAAGAGGCTACCTGGAACAAACATACATATACACCTGTACACACAGCACATTGATAATTGAGTCTGGTCACTCTGTAGACACATAGGACGCAAGACCTGATTGGCCATGCACACTGTCCAAACTCTCTGTTGCGGTAGCAAGAAAATAATCACCCGGATCAGTACACGGTACAAGGCTGTTGGTATGTGGGTATGTGCGTGCGTGTGTGTGTTCTACGGGATTTGATTAAACAAATCAATAAAGTTATCCGCATAACAATTCCCCAAAAAGGAAAATATCCAAGGAGTATGCAATAGTTTTGCACAGGATGCACCAATAATGAGCTACAAATGTGCTGACAGTTTGCCAGACGTGCACCTGTAAGGGTGCTAGATGTCAGTGTGTGCTTGTGTTGGGGGGGGGGGGGGGGGCAGCCAAGACCGCTCTGCTTGGAGCCAGATTGCTCACTGTCGTCCTCCCTGGTGCCTGTGCTCCTCTTGATCCTGATTAACTGTTCAAGCCGGTCGGCGCTTGGGTGCTGGCTCCAAAGCGGCATCATCTGTTGTGCCAGCATCAACATCAGGAGTTGCTTCAGCATCAACATCAGCAGCTGCTTCAGCATCAGCATCAGCAGCTGCTTCAGCATCAATATCAACAGTTGCTTCAGCAGCAGCAGTTGCTTCAGCATCAACATCAGCAGTTGCTTCACCAGCAGTTGCTTCAGCACTGGCAGCAGGTTCCCCACTCACAGAAGCAGTTAATGTCGGAGTGCCTGTGGCTGACAAAAGGTGAATGAGGTTCGCTGAAAGCTGGTCAACCGACAGGTCCTTCCGGTTTTTGCTAAGCTGGAAATATTCAACAGGAGCTGATTGCAGTAGCACATACCGACGAAAATGCAGTTGTGACTTCAAAGCAGACTTCTTGCGTGCAACCGTGGGTATCTCTGCCAACTTTGCCGTGACTTCAGAACTTGAGACCCAGAGCCCGTACTGTTCAATCTCCTTCGTTAGACGCTCCTTCCTCTTCAGCTGAGTATCTCTTTTTCTCGCAATGTTTTTTTCTTTCTCCTGCAGCACTTTGACTCTATAATCAGCGATTTCCTTCTGTCGTTCTTTGAATAACGCCCGCATTGCTGGTGCAGACCTCCGGGCATTTGCCAAAATTGATGCCTGCTCCTCCTCGTCCTTTGCATTCAGCCACTCGGCAGTACGGTTGTTTGCATACGCAATCATGCCATCTAATGCTATGGTCGATGCAGCTGGCTTCTGGCGGAGAAGCCGATCCAGCTGAGCGAAATCTCGCTCTGATATTGCATTCGTGTTCGGTACTGACACGCACTCCTCCACTACTTCTGCCTCCGGCTTGTGGTAACGACCACCCGGCAAATGATCCGCCAAAAGCCTAGCAGTGAAAATAGCAAAGCTCGTACAGAGCACCTGCAGTATTTCTAGCGTACACTCGTCTGATGAATGCTTCTCGAGCAGGCAACTCAACACAGGATCAGCCATGGCAACAACAGCAGTGGGGAAGGGCCGAGCTGTTCCATCGAGGATATCTGAGGAATCCGTTGACCACTCCACCAGCTTAGTATGCAGGTGTGTATAGATGGTGGACATCTCAAAAATCGAAACAGCCCTATCCTCCAAGACGCGCCAGAGTGGGGAAATCAGTAACTTGCTTACCAGACCACATGCTCTCGCACCTGCAACTAGTTCAGGAGCGGCTAGGTCAGCCTTAACTGCCCTCAGTAACAGGTTTGTCTCTCCATGAATGTCCTCGAGAAAATGGATCATGCATTCGTGCAGAAAGAAAATGCCAGCACCATTGTAAAACACTATATAATTTCGGTTTCCTCGGAACTCAGAGAGTGGGAGCTGCGTGTTAGATTGGGAAAGAAATGCATGGAAATCACCCACAACTCCAGCCTGCTCGTTTCCATGCTTCTCGAATGCACTGGTTGCGGTACGAATAAGCCGAACAACTCTGGACTCTTTCGTGTCGTACACCCCATGGACTTCATTAGCACCAATCTTTTCTGATCCAAATCTTATATCTTCCCATTCCCGCAATGACTTTGATGCTTGATCCGCAAGGCCAACAATGTAATGGAGGCCGCAGAAAAAATTATTCATCTTTATCATGGCACTGCGCTCATCATCCTGCAGTTGGGTCCAACCTTCAACTACGCTTGGCAATATTTCAGCCCTGTAATCTGTCAACAAGTCGTTAAAGCTTTTCTGCACACTACAGCGATCGCTCATTGTATTTTTGATTTTGGCAACTATCTGGTTGGCAACATTAGTATCTTTTGTCTTACAACAAGCTGATTCCACATCGTTCAAAACTTCTTTCAATTTCTCTAATCCATGAGCAGCAGTACCGCACTTCATATCACAGATACCCAGCGTGTACGACTGCTCAGGTGTGGAAATTTGATAAGACTGGTACAATTTTCCAAACTTGGATGTGCCATCACTGTGCAGCGTAACATCTTTAGCTTCGAGGATTTTTTCGGCAACATGCCCGGCACTGACTTGCTTGAGTTCAACAAGCATCTGACTTAATAAGCCAACACTCGGAAGCCTATCAATGTTTTTGTTCACCATTGACAGTACAATGCGAATGACCGATGGTACATTCAACACACCTACATTCAGTGACAATAGTGCAAGGCAACACTTCCTAACTGCATCCTTGTACTGGCCATCCTCCATTGCACAGAACAGTGCATTTTCTTCAAGTTGCGCAAGAGTATCGTCCAATCTCTCGTGCAACTCTTTCTCGCGATTATGATACCCAGATAATTCAGCATGCAACTCATCAGTCACTTCAGCCAGACTCTCAATGCTACTTGTTGACGATTGGTGTTTTCTCTGATGGTAATACACGCGTTCATGTTCATTTAACAACTTTTTCTTTGCATCTTCCAAGTCATCCGTCACAGCTTCTAACGACAATAACAATTCTTCAATTTTTCCTTCTTGCTCCCTCTCAGTGCTGGACAAATCATGCAATTTGCAATCCCTGCGGCCCACTATTTTCCTTGCATTTCTAATTTTTCTTTGATAAGATGCAATCTTTTCGTTCAGTGCTTTGTTATCTGCTTTACAAACAGATAGTTGCTCTTTCAACTCCACTACCTCTTTTGCAAGCACTGAAGCAGTGTCCTTTTCAAAGGTGCTGGCATGTTTCTCAACGTGCACTGCGTGAGTTTTTTCTACAGGAGAAGCGACTTCATCAGCTGTCTTGTTGAGGGGCAGTTCAAAAGGCTTACTTAGCAATTCACTGAGGTCGTCGCTCGCGGCCTTGTTCTTCAGCAACGTCTTTCTCCGATCTCTGAGGCGCTTGATCTTGCTGCTGGTCACTTTCTCATTCACCGTCTCCAAATCCTTTCCATCCACCGCTGATACTATCAAAATCAAACTATGCAAACTATAATTTTCGCTTGTCGCCCACATCAAGAGTTCAACAACTAGGCCATTCGTCAACTGCCCAGGACGACGCAGAGAAAGCTGGTTCTCTTCAGAATAAGAGTCCAAAGCCGCCTGCAAACTTGAGCGCCTTAACAACAATTCTTTGCACTGAGGCCCAAGCCAATCTTCTTTCTTCTCCACCTCCATACTGCGCGCAATGGCGTTCAACTACAAAACAATTTCCGCTACCGACCGCGACCCTTCATGCCGTCTGAAGGAACCTACCTAGACTAAATCGATGCCGTAGAATCTGATTCTGACTGCCGCTTGAGCGTGGAACCAAGGCAAACACCTCAAAAGCGACTTTGAAATCTATAAGAATCTATCGAGATGCGTAATATCGGCACGAATTCGCCGTGTGAGGCAGCAAACGAAAGCTAGAAACCTACTCTTCAACGGTGCGCCAATAAAAATGGCGATAAACTCACTCTTCCTACCTAAAATCTACGTCGAAGACCCCCCGCTGAGCTGTGCCATGACTGGCATTCAAAAAGCATGCATGCCTGTCAAGGCACTTTTGCCCCCGCAGATCACGTGACTGAAATCCCTACTTTAGAACAGAATAATACTTCTACTGTTCTAGTTCTATTTTTGTTCTGACGATGGGTGACTGGCCCGAAACGTCAATAATTTTTTTCGACGTCATTAATAAAAGAATTTTCATCTAAAGAGTGAATAGCAACTAAATAGAGCGGTTGTCAGTTGACAACCCCCTTTTTATTTACAATGCAGTTGCATGATGTTCACCGCTTTCTGAACGATAGTTCTATTTTGAAGTAAAAAGAATATCAGGAAGAGGGATGAAGCATCCTGCAGCTTTAGAGGTGAGTGGGGAGTGGTGGCTAGCAAACTCATGGTTATCCCCTTAGCAATGCATATTCAGTACGGCTGCTCTGTGGTAGAGACTTGTGCACTACTGGAGCCTGACAGATGATGGTAATTTATCAAGGGGCAGTTCAAATAATTAGGAACAAGTGAGTTTAGGACTGCAGTGATGAAGGGAAGAGATGATGTTCGCATTCCAGCACTTTCCACTGTGTGTTAACTTACAAGATGCAGGAAACTAATAGAAGATGTGTCATGCGCATATGCAGGAGCATGTAAGAATTGTAGACTGTGGAGAAGAAGGCCAATACTGGATGCTGTAGTTCAGCAGCAGGCTGCAATTCAGAAAGGCAGTTGTACTGAACCTAAAATAACATAAAACTATGTATATTTATTCAACAAGAAAGTAAGCAGCAGCAAAGGTGGTGTTGGTGAAGTGGACGTATATTTATCGGAAAGAAAAGGACCAAAAAAATGCAAGTAAAGCTCTAATGTCCACTAATGCCACCAGTTACTCGACAATCAGCTCCTGCAGTAACATTGCACGACACTGACCAACGGTACTGACATCCTACAACTAACTACCAGCCAGCTCATGTTGTGTGGTGTAGTCGGCTCATGTTGTTACGATCACTCAGTTGAACCTTCCAAGTTGGAAGGCTGTAGATGTGCTAGAGCTGACTGGCGTTAAGCCTGGTTCGAATTCGATGGGGTGTGACGGGACGATAAGCAACGGGACACTCATGACGCCAATTGATGACGTCCAATCTGAACGCCAGGAACGCGACCACCCCAAGGTGCGAGCAAAAGCGGTTGTTTAATAAATTAAGCCAGGTGGTCTTTAGAACCAGGTCCCATCATTGGTGGCATATCGGATCTTGAAATAATGCTTCCATGTGCTCCTATCACAGGTACTAGGTGTGGAGTATAGAACACTTTCGTGCAGGCAAAGCACCTAGAGTTTCACACCTCACTTAGGTGCATGCAGTGCACCCTGTACTGTCACATGTCACTTCTGTTGACTTCATGCCCAGCTTCTGGCCTCTGGTTTGTGGATCTGATCTATCCTCCCCCACCGTTTAGGAGCCGCATCCGACGCCTGATCATGGGGTGGTGGCGTCCCACGGAAGCGGAAAGGTGGTTCTTGACCAGGGAGTTGTACGACTCCTTGTTCTTGACCTGCCCGGTACGCGAACCCCGTCGAATTTATTTTTTTATTATTTTTCTGAGCCCACTTCAACCCTGTCACAGTGAATCCTGCCAGACAGCATAATTATAGTACTTTTGGCTAGTTTTGGTCGCCATATGCAGGTCAGATATGGCACTTCAAGTGTGACTTGGTACACTGTACTAGTGCAGTTTCTGTGTAGAACTGCCTGCGTATGGAAAAGCGGTCGTTGAAAGCAGGTGGTCGCTAAATTCAGTCAGAGGTCGGTTAAATCAGGTTTTACTTTACAGTAGAACCTGGTTTAAGCAACCACCCCACGGTGCAAGCAAAAGCGGTCGTTATTAAAGCCAGGTGGTCTTTAGAACCAGGTCCCATACATTCGTGGCATATCGGATTGTGTACATACATGTGCATGATTGTACTTCCATGTACTCATATTGACAGGTGTGGAGCATAGAATACTTTTCATGCAGGCAAAGAACAAGGCAAAGAACACCTCACTGTAGTGCATGCACTGTCCCTTGTCACTTATTATCCTGTTTACAGTCAACTTTGCTTATAACGACACTCGGCGGGGCATCAAAAAGGTGTCCTTATTCGCGAAGTGTCGTTATACCCGAAGTCTCATAATATTGATTACAGTGGGATGAGACTTTGCTGTGGGCATGGGAATTCTGTCGTTATTCGCGAATTGTCGTTATGTCCGCAGTCGTTATTAGCGAAGTTGACTGTACTGCAGGCCTTGCCTCAGAGCGCACTTCATTCAGCGCTGTCGCAGTCAAACCTGCTAGCCAAGATGGCACTTTTGGTTAGTTTTGGTCGCTGTGTGCAGGTCCAATACAGCACTTGGTACACTAAAAAGTCGGTCGCTGGTCGCGCAAGGCAGGTGGTCGCTGTATCCGGTGCAGTTTCAGTGTAGAGCTGTCCGTGCATGGAAAAAAGGTCGTTAAAATGAGGTGGTCGCTAAATCCAGAGGTCGCTTATACCAGGTTTTGCTGTATTTTGCAGATCCGGAGGGGACGGAACAGTTGAATCAGTTAAACTTTTCTTACCGTATGCGGGAACGGAAGTGTACAAAGTGGCTGCATTTCAAGTGCGAACAGGCGACGACCTTGTGCGCCGATGCATGCAGCTGCAACTTAATTTCAGGTTTTTGTACATTATGATTCCATGATAACTCGACGAATGGCTCACAGGACTGAGTTGAATTTTAGCAAGCTATGGTTTTCGTACCATTTGTTGTGCATGTATTTAAAGATACTCCGAGAGTGGGTCAGACAAACCTTTTCATCTTTTCCTGTGGCTATTATACAATCAATTCTGCAGAACAAACAACGCAGTTGATTGCTATAATAAGAACACGTGGCAAACCTGTCATGTGATACTGAAAGAGGAGTAACACTAAAGAACTGTAGAGACAACACATTATCCTTCTATTCACAAAGCTCAGACTCCAACTTACCTCATGAGCCTTGTGTACAGAAGGACAATCTGTTGTCTCTGCAGTTGTGATGCGATATTATGGTGTTACTCCTCGATGACGTAACAATGTTACATGATATATTTGCTATTTTGTAGTCACCTTCCAACCACTGCCTAACTTACATATCCAGAAACGATTTCTGTTCTCATCTTCACCACCATCGTCATCATCGTCATATTCGCTATCGATCAGCTCCCTGACTGAGTCCAAAAGTCTGGGATCTTCCTGTCTCAAGTCATCATCTAGTACGAGAACTCTGCCGTCAAGCCTGCATCAAGAATGCATGTTGCAAAACCCAACAGAGCAACATCAGTGTTATCATGGTTACTGTTATCATGGTTACTGCCATCTCCACTCCAACATGCATATAGAGCTATGTGCGACGACTGATATCATCATGCCTGGAAATATACACACCTCCTCCTGTACTACTCTGGGGAAGATGATGGCAGCATAGTATGCAGACGTTTTGATTTGATTGAGGTTATACATGACCAGTAAATCCCGGTTAAAAATACTTCCTCCGCGTCATCGAAATTGTCGCAGTTTGACTTTTGAAATAAAACGTGGTATATACTCACCAGCAGTCGTACACCAGGTAAGGAATCGGACATAGACGATAGTCATCAGTATAGGGTGACGGCAACGTTCTATTTTCTGTTGTTGGAAGCTGAACATTTTGAACTAGACGCAATTTCTTCGCTGATGTCCCTTTCGACTCGCTGAGATCAGTCAGGCGTTGCAGCCTGCACATTTCTCGCGCTTATAGCCGTTCACTCAAAAACCCATCACTGTTTTACCTGAGCTGGGGTGAGAATGACTTCGTGAAACAAGCGGCAGCGCTTGAAGAAACATCGAGGGGTCAGCAAACTAATGCAGGCAAGAGCGATAAAATTTGTCGCTCTTGCATTCATGCAAGGAATGCTGAGACACTCAGATCAGTACCTGCAAGGGCCGTGTAGACTCTGCGTGTATACTGTAGTGCTAGTGATGCACGTGCAGGTACTGTACCAGTGATGCTGAATGGGCATCCCACGGCTGAAAAAAAGTTCATTTCAAGATCGAGGTGATTCCGCCGACTGCATTCAACCGACCTCGCGACGATCGTGTGTTCTTACTTCATTGGTGGTGAAGTAGACATCATCCAGAGCTAGCAGATGACAAGCATAGCAGCTCTTGTCCTGTGGAGAAAGTCAAAGAGGTCGAGATGAGGCTTGACCAATTTACAACCTTCCTGGAAGTTTTACGGAACGATATTTTTTCGTCATTTGACATCAGCGACGACGAGGCCTTCATCTCCGTGTGAAACTCTCAGTCCAACTGTCCTGGAACGTTAGTCTAGACTTCAGACTATCATCCTGTGTAATATTTTTTGTATGGTTTAGCTTATGGAGTTGTCAGTAACAAGTGAAAAGTCACTAGTCAAACTGCGACAATTTCGATGACGCGGAGGAAGTACCACCTATCACTGGTTTGTAGTTTGTCTTTAGGAAAATATAATTTACACATTGAAAAGTTTCTGGACGCGGCAAAGTCGAGCGTTCAGCACTAGCTTTGTGGTTTGCCAGGTATTCCCGAACTGTTACAGGTATTCCCGAACTGTTACAGGTATTGCCGAACTGTTACAGGCCCATTCAGGCCCATAATCAGTAATGGACATCTAATAGTATTCAGACCTCGCTTATCCGATCCTCTTTTATCCAGATCCCTCGCCATCCGGAAGAAAATCATTGGTTACCGTTGGTTACTTATTTACAGCATGTGTAGTGCATACATACAGTATGTATGTTAGATTATCCAGTTCCCTAGCCTATCTACATATTTTCGTGGAACACGGATGATGTCATCATGTGTGTGGTTAAACCAGGTCTAACTGTACAGTATTACATGTAGTGGCACACGAGACAGTCACTCTTCCAAGTGGCACACGAGACAGTCACTCTTCCAAGTGGCACACGAGACAGTCACTCTTCCAAGTGGCACACGAGACAGTCACTCTTCCAAGTGCTGCAGCAGCTAACTGTGTGCAGCATTGATAATAGTTTGAATGAATTTACAAGAACATGTAGGCCCATAGGAGCCCCCTGGATTAGGGAAAACACCTTGGAAATTCAACTCCTTATATTCCATTTACATGTGAGTATCTTAATCTCCAGACAGCTAACTATTTCGATCTAGGTCTGAGCATTATGTATCCGGCGATATGCACACGCACGCACCCCCCCCCCCCCCTACACATACATACGCACACAACTGCTGTCTGGTGATCAACCTTTGGTGTGAAGGCCCATTCACAATAATACAATTCTGCGATTTGATGTGCGACACACGACACTTGCAACAAGTGAATGTTTGTCGCGTACTGTCTCAAGGCCATTGTCGCATTGTCGCAGATGTAACATAGTTGACAAAAGTTCACCTTTTGAGACATGCAGTGTGCGACATACATCAACGGAAAACGGTTTTCCATGCTGGGTACACGTGCAGTACATGTGTATGTATCATGCACTGCATGCATAGGGATGTTATAGATAGCAAAAAATCGAATCATGTGTTGCGGTCGCAGTTTGTCGCAGGTGTTGCAAGCCGCATGTCGCGTCGAAAAGGTGGTATCGGGTATGCGTGATCAGCTCTGCACGTTCTGCACTAATTATACCATAATCACAGCAGCAGCAGCAGCACCAGCAGCAGCAGCAGCAGCAGCAGCAGCAGTGCCAAGATGTGTGTATCTGCAGTGCCGAGATGTGTGTATCTGCAGTGCCGAGATGTGTGTATCTGCAGTGCCGAGATGTGTGTATCTGCAGTGCCGAGATGTGTGTATCTGCAGTGCCGAGATGTGTGTATCTGCAGTGCCGAGATGTGTGTATCTGGTAAACTAGTTCTACCAAGAGTACTACATCATGCTGATGTTCCACTGCATAACCCACTGCATAACCCACTGCATAACCCACTGCATAACCCACTGCATAACCCACTGCATAACCCACTGCATAACCCACTGCATAACCCACTGCACAACATGCTGATGTTCCACTGCATAACATCTTGAGATCAGTGGAGCATACAGCAGTGATGTGCATACACAAGCCCAGGTGTTGGTCACATGCATGATTGCCCTTACCTGATACAGATGTGTGCGGCCAGGACCCAGGGCGACGGTAGAGACTTAATGATGATAAGACAGTCCTGCTCATGCTCCACTCCAGGACCTGTGCAATTATAGAACATGCCAGGAAGAAGAATGCAAAGTATGCAATTGAGCCACTGCATGATTATTATGACTCAAAAATTGTACACTTCATACTTTCACGAAAACAGCAAGGAGAAACTTCAAAGCTCTCGGCCAAAAAAGACAAAATCGAAAAGGTGCTGTCATCTTGCAGTGTGACAGTGTCTTGCGTGTGTAAGTGCGCAGTGCACGCAATCGAGAAGATACCAATAGCTGCACGACTAGACTTACATTTAAAGTGCTCTGGATCCTTTGATTTCACAGCGGTGGGTTTTAAGTGGACCAATAGACATAATATGCACATAAATACACACATGCACATGTACACAGTGTACACACCCACACACACACACAATACATACACACACATATTCACAAACACACATACACACACAGATACACACAGGCATATGCACAGTCATGTATAGTCTGATTAGTATGTCTCAATAATTGTCATTTTACTCGGATGGTGAGCCAATTAAAATATGGTGAAAAAAGGAGAAGGACAGTTAGTCATAACTCGTAACATTTTGTCCTTCTCCTTTTTTCACCGTAATTGTCTATTGTAATTCGTTTTAGGGCTAGCTATAGGCAAGATGGAAATGAGGCTTGAAAATGTCTTATGGTGAATTGCTAGTGAATTGCTGGAGAATAAGCTTTCCTAATTGATTTGGGTCACAACTTCACATAATGCTGTTCACTGAAAAGAGGCTGAGACGTTTAGCGGCTACAGGCATGGTAACCAGTACTGATTGCATTTGGAACATGCAGGCGTGGCAAGCCAGTGATACCTAAGTGGATAAAGGGTCTTTCCTGATTATTGTCACTTGAACACCCGAACACAAAGATGCAATAACTACCATTGTACGAGTACATGTGCTTAGAGTGCACGTGATCAACCTGCTCTGATTCTAGAAGTGATCAACCTGCTCTGATTCTAGAAGTGATCAACCTGCTCTGATTCTAGAAGTGCGCAAGTGTGGCCAGGAGTATAGGCTGAACTCACCACGCCCAGTGAACGGAAGAATGACTCATCAAAGCCGTCATAGATATCCCCGCGGTCTCTTCGTGGATCTGCATGCAGAGCATTCGATAAGAATTAGAAAAATATGCTAAGGCCGAGTAAAAAAATTACTAGATGATCGTCCTTTTTTTTGGAAAAATCGGGGAGGGCGGGAGGATTTTATTTTTATTTTTTTACTTTTTACCCTCTCATGCACACAGTGTACACAACAACATCAAGGTTTTTTTTCTCTTTTTTTCTTTTTTTTTCTTTTTTTCTTTTTCTTTCTTCAGCAGATCGATACTGACGTTGTGATATACTAGTAGTATGTGGTCCATATAGTAAAACTCACGATTTAAAAAATAAAATATTTCTTGGGGCGCTGACAAAAACTGGGGCGGACGGGGACGATCATCTAGCTTTTTTTTTTACTTGGCCTAAACAACAACAGTTGATGTGAAGCCGGTCAGCACACTGAATAGGAGCACAAATAGCCGAATGTTTGGTACAGGTAGTACTGATGTGTTGGTACACCTGACCGGCTAGCCTGGCCACGGCGGATAGTGCCGGCAGAAAAAATGGCAGAGTGTGGTACATCTTCCGGTATGTTTCATGCATGCTTGGTACGTGGATAAAGAAATGGAGCAGAATTCAAGGAAATGCCTGCAAAAACTTGCCAATAAGGTTTGTATGGTCCCACCAATTTCACCGCTTTTCGAGCGGAATCTGCCAATTTGTTAGCATTATCTGCCAAGGGCTACCGGATGGTGGGTAACACTTTTATACCGTATTGTCGCGAATTGGTGCCGAACGTGAAATAGCTATGCATTTTGGTGGATAGTATAAGCAGGAACACAGAGAACAGACAGAGGGTAGTTGCTTTTAAAGGGGAAGGTAAGGCTAAAATCAAAATTTCACCAGTTGTAGTCTTCGGGGTGCTGAGTCGAATGGTCTTGGTCCGAGGAAGCTGAGACGCTCCCTTCCTACTTGAATCCCAATCGAACTCGCGCACTTCCACCAAAACTGGGTGACTGCACCCTACTAGATGGGGATTTTTATGCAAAATGTCACTAAAAGCACCATTTCGTTCTTATAAAAGCACGGATGACCGCGATTGGCCCATATGTTGTAGTCTTTTGGACGCTGAGTCGACTGGTTTTGGTCCGAAAAGGCTGCGATGCAGCGTTCGGCCCTTATTCCCAATCGAACATGCTTGAACAATTGGTCACGTGCTCCTGCGTACACCAGTCACCTGGTCACCGTGCCTGCAGGGTACAACTTGCAGCCTGTTTTGACCTTTTTTGGGTGCAGTCCTGTCACTCGAGTTCAACTCGAGTTGAACCTTGGTGTGAAAGTTGTCGCCTGCTGGTAGTGCTGGCGAACACCAACACTTCTCCAAGGCGCACTTGCGCCTTGGAGAAGTGTTGGAGCTAGGTGTCAGGTCGCCGAATGTCTCAGTACTCCTTGTCAGTTTTGTGCCATTTTGTCGCACTTGCTGACTGCATAAGATCTGGTTACGTTGGTGGACAGTTTGTCATAACTCGTAACATTTTGTCCTTTACCTTTCTTCATCATAACTATATTGGCTCACCATCCGTGAATTATAGCGCAAACTATTTGTGTACATCTCCTTCTCATTGTGATTGACTTAGCACTTGTGATAGTTATGCCTGGGAGGGTTCATAACACCTCCATTTTGCACTATTCATTTTGTGTTGGTTTGTCACTTGCATGAGTTAGTTGAGTGGTCACACCGTGCACCAGTATTTTCTGTACAAAACAGCATTATTCAGCTTAGCCCCTTTCATTCAACAACTTCTTATCCTCTGATGAGTTCACGTCATCTTTATGGAATGAAACAAGACTTATCAGGAGTAACACTACTTGCTATATTGGAGTGTGGCTGGCGATCTGTTCTTGCATGCTGTTGTCTGAAAGCGTCGTGTGGTCTCGTCGAGTCAAAAGAAAAACCTGCTACTACAAGTAAGTTAGTCTTGCTGATTCCAACATGAATCCCTGAACTTGTGGACATTGAAATTCGGTAAAAATGACCGGGGTTAGCGGCGCCCTTACTTCCTTAGCGCATACATGCCCTGCACAAGCACTGTTCGCATCCGCGTTCGGTTCTCACGGCTGCTGCAAGGTCAGCACTCCGTGACTGCTTGACTTCTCAACGGATGTCAATGTACACAACAGTAACACCAGGGAGTAGTAAAATACCGGTATTTTACTACTCCCTGGTAGCAGCATCCCAGTGATGGTGACTTCAAGTAGAGAATGTTTGTGTGTTTTAAATAGTGGTGTGCACGGGTAGTCGGGTACCCGTGCTACCCGTGAGGACCTCGGGTAGACGGGTACCGAATCGTACCCGAAAACCCGAAGTCGCAGATGACATGATTTAGTCTTGTAGAAAGAGAGAGAGAGGTCTACAGTGCACGTGTACGTACAGGTTCCTGCACGAGTACGAGTACGAGGGCAGTACCGCGGAATCCAGCCCGCGATAGCAGCAAGGGCTGGATGAACAGCGGTACTGGCCGAGTATGAGTGACTGGAACGTGTTTCCCGTGTGCACCCAAGCCAAATAAAGAGATCATGACATACATGTACACACCTGCATTGTGTTTTGTGATTGTTTTCTGGTACAGTCAGTGACAGTAGTTGTAGTCCATAGTGCTTTCTTTCTCGTGGTGGCCATTGACATTGTCGACTTGGCATCCGGTATTCTGACTGTTCTGCTCCTACGGATTTTTCCCAGGCCAGGGCTTGATCGGAAACCTCGGCAAATTGCGCGAGTCCTGCAGGTTGCTGAGCATTGTGCGCTTCGGTTGAGGCTCATCTGGCGTCTGGCTCGTCCAAGATCTCCTTCGTCAATTGACGACGGGCAGTAGAATCCGTTCCTGCCCGTCGTCACTTGATGACGGGCAGTGGAATCCGTTCCTGCCCGTCGTCACTTGACGACGGGCAGTGGATCCAGTTCCATCATTACTTTGAGCAGGCAGGACCGCGCTTTCCAGCCTGCGCTGTTTGATCTGTCATTGGTCCACTCCAAGGCGACAATCACGTGACATACGGGAAAATAATTCACGCATGTCTACCCAGTAGGCCCAGACAGATCCTGCCGGCAATTCTTTCGGCAAAATATCGAAGAATTGAAAGAGCGGAAATTGCCGGCAAAATTGGAGCAAAATATCGAGATGTTAGGTAAAATCGATGCCTGATACTTGGATTTCCTTGTTTCTTACTCGTTCAGCAGGACACACTGCCCAGGATCCTAGGACGAGATCATGTCACCGAAATATCACTGGGATTCACTGTGAATCGACATGATTTTGGAAGAACTCAGGGACACGTGCGTGGAAACCTGTGTTGAGAAACCGACCTTGCGATTTTTATGAAATGTACGGGATTGTACGGGAAGTGGATAAAATACACGTTTTTCCGGAGCAAAATGGAGCAAAATATCGAGTTTCTTGTGCCAGGCTGGGCAAAATATCGAAGATATTCGCAGCAACATTTTGCGGCAAAATATCGAGGCGAGCGGAGCAGAATCTGTCTGGGCCTACTACCCAGTGTGTAAGGGAAGGGGCCGGTGTGCATTGTGGTCGTACCATGGAAACATTACCCGATCGGGTACCCGTTCTACCCGTGGAAAACTACCCGGACCCGATACCCGAAGAAAATGCTACCCGACTCAGCCCTAGTTTTAAACTCTGCCCCCCCCCCCCTCCCCCCCCCCCACACACACACGCTGTTACAACCGTGTTTCTGCAGCAGCATCCGTCATTATTAGGATCTCTTACCATTGTTGCCCATAATGCTGAGCATCAGCGGAATGCCAACAGAAATGCCAATGATCAGGAAACCAATTATCCCGAACGCAATCCATGTCCAGAACTTTCTGGTCCTCGATGCTACCAATTGCCTCTCATGTTGCATCTGTTCAATTACAACGCCGCCAGCGCCATTGACAACGTTGAGTTCCGCCTGATGTTCAGGGTCCGTGTACCCGTCAGACTCAAACGACTGTAGTCGACGCAACTGCTGTATTCTCCTTTCCCTCTCCTCCTTACTGCATGGTCCTGGTCCAGACTTGCAGTTTTTGCTCTGCAGCAGCGGATTAGGTGTTTCCCTCGTAGGGCAAACTTTGCCCCAGCCGGTCGTGTTCGGATGCTGCTTTGGCGCTGGGGCTAGATCAGCACCACTATGTGGCCTTGCTGGTGGCGATGAGAGCTTGACTGAAGCTGGGTGAGCTTCGAACGTAAAGGCTGATATAGAGTTCTCGTACTTGGGTGGTGAGTTCACTCCCATTTCAGTACGTAGCTGAATTGTCGACACCACAGCCTGCTCAGGTTCAGCTGACACGGTCGGCACCTGCTCCGCAAATGTTCTCTCCTGGTTGAACGTGGCTGAGAGGACCGCGGGGTTCTGTCTAAAATCTGGGTCGTACGTCGCTGGGCTATATGAGAGGACCACAGCGTTCTGTCCCAAATCTGGCTTCTCCCCGCTTGAACTTCCGGAATTGAACGGGTTTTCTCTGAAGCCTGACTTCGCAGCTGCACCGCCTCGACTAATCTTTTGCTTGCGGGCATCATCTCCAGCAGGTTTCGGAGACGGAACGGCTTGAGGGGGATTCATCCTAGCCCACGGGGAAGAAAATGGCGCTATGGCAGGTCCAGGGGCGGAACAGCCAGCAGAGAAAGCCTCGTCAGAAGCCGCCAAGCTCTTGATCAGTACTGACCTGTTTTCGCTTGCATTATCATAATGCTCCGGAGGATACAAATGTCTCTCGTCTAGCAACGAACTAGCTCTAGCAAAGTAGTGACATTTTGCTAGTTCCGATGGCAGACTACCTGTACACAGAGACTTAGATCTGCAGTACGGTGCAGGGGGAGTGACTCTCGGCAGCGAGTTGCTTCCTTGGTATCTGCCTCGTTGTTGCCAGTGTGGCTGCTCTGCTGTAACAGGGTATCTTTTCTTCTCACTGCTGTTGCCGCTGCTCCTGCTGCTGCTGCTGCTGGTTGCACCTGCATTCGAGTCGTCGCGCAACGTATGTTGCGCGGGCGAACTGCCACTCAGACTCCTGTCCATGGTAGGATTACGAGTAAGTGTATTTATGGGTGACGGTGGTTGCTGAAGGGAACAACACTGGGGATCTCGCTTTCTACTCAGACTGCTGCTGTTCAACTAACTTCAAGGGAAGCATCTACATGATCCATGTAGCGATTCCGTGATGGTGACTTGCTTGTGGTCTTTCTTTTGGATTGTGCCAGTTGCAGTATATTGCCCAGTGATGAATGTCAAACTCTAGACACTCACTTCAGCTGAGCATACACACACTACCACATGGCGTTGTGTTTCACAGACATGCTCAGCCAACACGGAATCAGCAACACTCGTTTTTACTCACTGCAACTCACATGGAGCGTAGAGCTCGACCAGATCCCTCTCACCCACTGCACGTGCATTGCCATACCTAACGTCCTTGCATAGGGCCTGGGGCCAGTGGGGGATCCTGGACGATAGCGCTTGCAAGTAAGGCAGTAAGCCTGTAAGGGCCTGAGTGACACTAAGCCTCAACTGGCTCACGTCTAACTTCTAAGCGACGTATCACTCACGGTCACACTTACAATAATATCACAAGTGTCATGCACATCATGGGCCTGTGCAGCACTAAGAAGACAACCGCAAAGCTTGCTGAGCTACCACCCAGCGCTACTGCTAACCATGCTAACACAGACTGTCAGTGACAGTTATGCCAGTCTACTATTTCAACACTAGCTCATTTCTCATCTTTCTTATTCGTCTCTCGCAAACTGGCATTCTTGAACTGAAGAGAATAGTTCTTGGGAGCAGTCCAGTCGAGCTGTGTGCGGAAGCTCTTTAGGACTTTACTAGCTTGCAGGCTAGGTTCTCTGTGTCTGCATAGTCGCTACTACTGAGTACTGTAGTATTAGCGACTAAGACAGAGGCTTTTCTGTGCATGGAGAGTGGTACTTGACACTGACCCCTGTTGATCATCTATCCACCGCAAGATTTGTTTCTTGTGCTCCACTGATTTTCAACCAATAACAGTGAATGCACATTGTTGTATCTGATGGTAGTAGTCTGATACCTGTACCTGTGAGGCGATATTCACCTATAGTGGCTATACTATACTCTATAGGCTCGAATTCTAAAGAGCTTTACCAGTTGTACTTTAATTTTAAACGTCCAACCCGCAGCAGCACACAAACGGTCTTTTGGCTACACCACACAAACCGATTCTCTCTCTGGGCCAAAATCAGTTTGCGTGGTGCAGCCCGGGACTGTTTGTGTGTTACGAGTTGAACTTAGTAAAGATGACAAGCTTACACTTCAGTGGAGTTTCAAAGTAACAGTTCTAAAAAAACTTCGTACATGTTGCAAGTATATTATTATACTTTTTATGCTGCGCGCATGGTATGCATGCAGTCGTGTAGCATAATGTGTTATACATTATACATGTACATTCTAGTGTTGACTGTTGGCGTAGCAAGCTGATACATGTAACCAGTAGTACATGTAAATAATTATTGTAATACTTCCAAAAACATAATGCACGTACATGTACATGTAGTCGCTTTATAGCCAGTAGTCAGTACTATGTCACTCATGAGTATGTGTACCGGCGCTGGCAGTGGCACGTACCGGTAGGTCACACCTCAGATCTACCACGCATATGCACAGAACAACCCACACAGGCCACAGTTCAATAATTATTTCCTCACATGCAGTACAGTACAATACTTACACGTATCAAAGGCGCAGATGCAGCGCCTAAACGGTGGGAGGTGAGTAGATCAGATCCACCACCAAGTGGTCAAAGACCGAAATCCCATTAGCTGCATCCATGTTACCCTCGTGCCAGTCGTGCCATGTTACCCTCGTGCCTAGCGCCTATTTATTTGATTTGATTTAATACTTGACTGGATTTGTCACCATCACTTTCTTTGCCTGCGCACTTCGAGTTCATCCCGTGGATCACCCAGTTTCCGACGGCCAGTTTGTCAAAGGAAAACCTCTCACTACAACTAGTACAAGTGCAGGCATGATGATGATTGTGGTCAATCAATAGACCGATCCCCTTATTATTGTCTGGGTTCGAGCAAGGGGGCAACTCCGCAGTCGCGTGGGATCCTGCTGCACACACGCGACCAACCTCACCTCGGCTTTGCGTGACTTCTCGCATGCGAAGTGCAGAGCACGCGAAATCTACACGCAGTGCAAGCCTGCTACGTCTACAAAAAATGCCACAAGGACTTTTGATTTGAGCTGTTTTGTTTTTGTTTAGACGTCTTCCTTTTTACGACTTCAGGATGCCTTCTCAGGATCATTGCTGCGTTCCTCACTGTCAGAACAGGAGGACGAAGCAAGCAAGTCATTTCACTCCTTTCGTCGTGTGGAGCCACAGCGGCCTGGAGCAAGCGGATCCAGGCTATTCCCCGTGAGGAAGGACGTAGTTTTAGGGCCACTCTGAATATTTGAGATGCAGCGATCATTTCGATCCCGAAGTCGAAATCGTTTTGCCCAGCTCTACAAGGGCAGGATGAGTCCAGGAAGCCAAACAGCTGTCCTACGGTACCAGGTTTGCTTTTCGCAAGAGAGTGGAGTCTGGACGCTCTGCTCCCTATGCTCGCAAAACAGTATTTGCTGAGCCTAGTGCAGTTCGGTCATGGAAGTGCAGCGTCTGCATCACGAGCTCCCCATGCTCGCAAACCAGTATTTTGCTGAGAGGCAACGGCATTTTGAGTTGGAAAGGAACCTGGCTTAGTGCAGTTTGGTCCTGTAATGGAAGTGCAGCATCTGCATCAGGAGTTGGCAGCAAGTAGAGCTCGTGTACAGAGTCTCGTGGAGCAGTTGGACGATGGGGTGAAGAAAGCCGAAAAACAGCTTACGTACAATAACATAAAGAAAGACTCTGAGCCGCGCCAGTTTCTGACTGGTTTGCCTTCAGGTGTTTGGACCGCTCTGTGGGACTTCTTTGAGCCTAGCCGAGAAAATGTACTGCGCCGAGCCAGACCTGCGAAGACGGAAGCTGAGGGACGGCGGATACAGTTGGAGGTGGCCGTAAATCGCCAATGAGCATGTAATGGAGGATCAGCTGCTATTGGCATTGATGTGTCTAAGCCTGGGCCGAATGGGACAGAAGCTGTCATGCGTGGCACAAGTTAATCATCCGTTTCACGGTATATACTATATAGCTAGCTGAGCTGGAAAGACGTCTTGTTCCTCCGTTTGGGCATGATCCCCATTCGGGCGAGCTGGCGAGATGTTCAGTCATCAATGCCATGTACCGCAAGACATTCTGCATTGTGGATGAAACAGTTCTATTTTGCCATGCACTTAGGGTTCTCGCACGGGCACAAAAAGACCCAACAGATCCTTGCGCTCTTATTTTCTCCCATGGTAACATTGCTGATCACAACACCCGGTAGCCAGTCGCAGATGCAACCAAATCAACCAGGTTCTCTTACTCTTTTTTTCCAATACTGAAACCAAAGGTATACCAATATTTGCATCGAATGCAGTGATGATTTCAATACTGTCCACTAGTACAACGCATTACCAGACTGGCATATAATCATGATAATATTATCCATTTCGCAATCACTGTCATTGCTTTCTTAGATCTTCAATCATCAATATCGGACCATAAACCGTCTATCATCTTCTATTATATCATCATTAGTATCCTGCTATCCTCCTCTAACGATGAGCTCGAAGAAAAGAAACAGCGGTCTAGAGGCGTAAACAATATCTGTCAACGGAAGTGTCCTTGCTGTGCTGGTGTGTTTATGCTTCGTGCATTAGTTCGGCCAAGAGCGCACGGTGGTGGCGGGTTGAGGATGTTAAATATACTAGAAAATAGTTAGGTTCGAAAGAACCACACACACACTTTGCTGCAGACAGCGGCAAGCTTTGGCCCTCGTGCTTCGAAGAGGGAGCAATCCACTGCGCTACGCTTGCGATTAACAGCAAGCTTCGACTTTTCAAAGGTACGACTCATCATTGGCTCTGGGGTAATGTTCCTGGAACAAATGCCCCATAGCCAACCGAGGGCAAGGGAGCACGCAATCTGCCTTCCTGGGCGAGAAGTGTTCCAGCACAAGAAGCAGCACGAATACATAGGTTCGAAAGAACCACACACACACTTTGCTGCAGACAGCGGCAAGCTTTGGCCCTCGTGCTTCGAAGAGGGAGCAATCCACTGCGCTACGCTTGCGATTAACAGCAAGCTTCGACTTTTCAAAGGTACGACTCATCATTGGCTCTGGGGTAATGTTCCTGGAACAAATGCCCCATAGCCAACCGAGGGCAAGGGAGCACGCAATCTGCCTTCCTGGGCGAGAAGTGTTCCAGCACAAGAAGCAGCACGAATACATGCTGACAAAGACCACTATCACCACCAGCCGGCACACAGCACTCTGTTCTTCAAACACCATCCACTCCGTCCATGTGTTTGCACTGTCCTCCTCTAGCTCTTCACGCTCAACAAATAACACGCACTGCTCATCGTTTTTTTTATGCTTCCTCTGGGTTGGCTAGCCCTTCGACTTGACAAAACAGCGATCACCACTGCACTGCTATCGTCACCTCATAGCAGTCGCTTCCACCAGTGGCTTTTCCTGTCTTTGCAAGGTGTCCAAGGATGGCTGCTGTTGTCACTACAGGCAAATCAGAAGTACTTTAGTGGCTGATGTCCAACCAGATCGTTGGAAAATCGATTTTTCCACTTCAGGGCTGCTGATCGCGACTTGGTGACTTGGCAGCACCACGGTTACCTTCATAGAAGATGGCTCTGGAGAGGAAAAGACAGACCAGAAAAAGTTTACTATTATCTTCAGCACCGATCGCAAGGAGAAAGAAATATGGTCTGCTGTAGCCTAGGTACAAAATAAATCTCACAACACGATTCGCGATTCGAATATTTCAACAACAAAAAAACTCACCTCTGGAGTAACTCCTGTTTGTGGCCCGAGATCGTTCCCTCCCGCGCCTTGAAAAAATCCTGCAGCGGCATCACAGTCCATGTCTCTCTCGGAGACTCTGCTCCTACCAGCAGGAGGTTTAGCACCGCTCGAAGCCATCGCAAACTACTTGAACTAAGCAGAAGACATTCCAAAACAAACCTGAAACACACTGTCAAAGATGCTGTCACGTTCAAAAACTAGCTCGATCGCCAGTGAGGTTGCCCCCGTGCTCGAACCCAGTATAATAAGGGGATCGGTCTATTGCAGCACAATACAATGTCTTATGTACATGGTGTTGTGTGTCAGGGGTGCTCGGTCGGCCCGTCACCGTCCAGTTCACATGCTTCGTGAGTTGGCGATGGTGGAGGGTCGGGTTCCCCTGCCGTGATTGGTGCTGCACCGAGCTAGTTTTGTGTGAAAGTATAACTATTATTATTATTCTTATATCTATACTTCAAGTATTACAAAATAATTGAGAGGCTTTGAATCGTTTTTATCAAAATCTAAATATTTGCCGGGTTGGAAGGTGGGAAGCACATGCATGGCTGTA